ATAGAAGATCAAAAACTAGGTAGATACCAGTGCCACAAATGCCACCACACCTCGCCATCACTTCTTTCCTTCTGCCAGATGCAGAAGGAAAAATAACTGTTACACTGTCAACCACCCGACCTCTAAGCTCCGCTATTACTATCTCATCATCACCATCTGGCTTGAGGTCTTTCTCTCCACCGCCAACCTCAGGACACCACTCCAATGTCATCTTGGTAAACTGTCCTGTATGCTGCAGATGTGTCTCACCCATAAGGTCCTCTTCCTGATTTAGTCTACAATCGTATCATGCCAGGTTCTGTTAAAAAATGTCAAAGTTGCAGAAACATTAGCATGCAACTATCACAATCATCCTTAATCACCCATACTAAGCATGTACCTGTCCTTCCATCTGTACCTCCGATGAGTACGGTTTGCTACGTACGGTGAAAAATAAGTTCATCATACATACATGTTTTTGTTTCTTAGTTGCTGCTGGGTTAAAGTCAGGCTCTCTGATCGTTTCAATAAATAACCCTCTATTCTTCCAAACAAAAGATTGTGTTTACCTGAGCACACACAACGAGCAGCTGGACGCGGGCTCCTGCGCCGCTTCGCATTCGATGACGCACAATATCAAGTGAAAATTTTAAATTTTCATGAACAGCTACGTGGGCGAAGGCACGGGGGCCACAGGAACTTCCAGCTGCGATCGGCAAGCCAAGGCCACCTCTCCGTAGTGCGCGTCGCTCACACAGATGCATGCTGCTTGTTTTTGCCTACTTTTTGTGGGCAACACTGCTATAGAGCTCTTGCTGAAATGAATTACAGGATAAGCGTGTGCTTGTCAAATATGTTCCCGTTCTAAAAGCTGACCAAGTTGTGCTCATTTATGTTACTTTCTGCACTGCCACTGACTACCAACTCTTGGACTTGCAGGTTAGGAATCTCATACCTAAGATGCCTGCACGTTACAGCAAGCCCACCTACAAATCACTGTGGTAGACATCCCAAGTTTTTATTAACAAACATAATGAGTTCTCATATGGCAAAACAAAAATAATGTGCATTTACGCAGGAAACCGGTTTGTTCGTTGTATTTCTTGCCACAGGAAACGTTACAAGGCCGCTGTTCAATTGTCCTGCGTGAAGGCACGCCGTACAATTATGGGGATATTGCACGAAACACAATTTTTTTCAAGATACAAGCATTTCATTCACAACGAGATATCTTGCACTCATCTTTTAAAAGTGGCGTGCAAAGAATGATCACGATCATCGGTGACCATTGCACGGAGCCTGTACAAGCCCGCAGCTATGAAACAAAACGAGTCTGAGACTTTCCTTTATCTACACTAACACGTTTTCAAAAGAACCCGAGATAACCCATAAAGAGCTCATAAAGGATCCCCCCACCAAAGGTGCACTGAGTGGCCGTATCAAAGTGTTGTCACAACTCGGGCCCAGCACAGTCATTTGTGCGTGGCATTGTGGATTCTTATGTTTCATAGTCGACAGTGAAAATGTCAAACCCTGAAAAAGAAAAGTGATGCTGAAATGGCATTTACTATAATAGGTGTTCCCCTTTTTTCAGGTGTTAAGATGTTAAAACACCAAACTGAAACCTTTTTGCAAGGAATCATGCCTGCAAGCACTATCACAGTAATGAGAGCTCAGGGTGAGCAGCTACATCATGGGACCTCCTTTGCCAGTACCAAAATATGAGAATAGGTTTTCCCCTTTTTTCTGGCAACAAAACAGGTGTTAAGATTTTGACTTAAAGCTTTCGTGACTGAAGGAATGCATATTCTTGGTTCTTTCGGTAAAGTCACGTAAATAGAAAACATTTTTTTAAATATTGAAATGAAATTAAAATAATGAAAATAAACAAAAAGATAAAATAATACATTTAAATTAATAAAAGCAAAAATCCAGCAATAAAAAATGCTAATAGTAAAATTTAAAAAATTTGTTTTCTATTTATGTGAATTTACCGAAAGAACCAAGAATAGGTGTCAAGATGTTAAAACACCAAACTGAAACCTTTTACAAGGAATAATATCTGCATTAACCACAATACTTGTGGTCAGAATGCAAACAAAAAAGTACTCTGATAATATATGCATTGTCTAACACCGTTGGAGACTAGGCTTGAAAGAAAGCTGTCTCTGGTGTGGACCAATCAGTTTCAAAGACAATGCATATATTATCAAAGTATGCTTTTTGATTGCCTTCTGACCACAGGTATTGTGGTTAATGCAGACAGGTTTCAGTTTTATGTTTTAACATCTTAAGACCTATTTAGTTGCCAGAAAAAAGGGGAAAACCTATTCTCAAATTTTGGTACTGGCAAAGGAGGTCCCATGATGTAGATGCTCACCCCGAGCTCCCATTACTCTGATAGTGGCACTGTCTTTGGGCTTTTGATTTAAAGCTTTCGTGACTGCAGTGATTCATATTCTTGGTTCTTTCGGAAAATTCACATTGAAGGCAAACAATAAAATAATAATATATAAAACAATAAAATTCTCACGACGTTTCGACTGTAACGCAAACAGTCATCATCAGGTGTGGTTTTTCAAACCTATTCTTATATTTTGACACTGCCAAAGGAGGCCCCATGATGGCATTTACTCCATAAGGCTGGCATTTACTACATGCGCATGTCTTCACAATGATGACGCAACTGCCATTTCAAAATATTATCCAAAACGCAGCAATAAAAGAGTTAATGGTTTTTTTGTATATTTCACTAAGGTGCAGCATTAATGTACAGAATAGGAACTGAAATTAAACGCGCATTGCAACTTTTCCAACAACGCTAAATCCAAGGTCAGAAAAAAAACGAGCGCAGCTTCTCTGCGCTATCAAACGCTCGACCACAAATCAAAGTTGACGGGCAATTAACTTAATTCCTCAATGGGTAACCAATTAATTCGGCCGAATATAATAAGCATATAAAAAAAAGGACCGTGTCATCTGGGCTGGTGGGGTTTTGGTTATATGTCCCGTGTTGAAACCTCAGCCTGATGTCAACTCGGACGAACACGATGTCGTTGAGCTTGAGTGTATGGCACGAGTTTGCGTGTGTGCGAGCCAGGCACTGGTTCTGTGCAGAGTGGAAAGAGTTTTCACCGTAAAGACGTTTCCATGCCACTGCGGGTTTTTAAGACGCCAACTGTACAACTCAACAGCTGACGGCAGAAGTGGCCAGCGAATATAACCCGACGATGGCAGCTGCCCCAGGCCTCAAATAACGAAATATCTCTCTCTCGACACACAACGACGACAACAGCTAATGGGTTTAAAAAAAGAAAAGAAAGCAACGCTATTGGATAATTACAAAGTTACCACCACTTTCACCACGCGAGAGAGCGGCGTACACTCAAACGGTGCGAGTGCACAATCACACGTACACTAAGGGGCCGTCCATAAATGACGTCACGCACCTAGGGTGTGGGGGGGGGTCAGACACTTGTGACGATGTGTGACGAGGGGGGGGGGGGAATTGAGAAATGTGACGTCACATCAAAATGCGCAACTTTAAATATAGATTTGTTATAGCACTAATTGTTATAACAATCCGACAAGATCAGAGTGCAGCGCCACATTAAATACGAATTACAATGACAATAGTTTAAAGCGATTTGAAGCATGTTTTACTTTTAAAATGGAAATATGGTTTGGGGGGGGGTAGAGCTTTGTGACGTCATATTTGAGGGGGGGGTCTGACTTTTTGTGGCGTCGTGTGACGAGGGGGGGTCAAAAATCGCGTGACGTTATTTATGACGGCCCCGAAGGCACATTCACTCATGCTCACACCGTCAACACGTGCACACAAATGCACAAACACGCAGGTCGGGCATCCAATTGACGACCCTCTTGGCACTTTGCCTTGAAAACTTCATTCACATAAATACACTCGCCCTTCACACAGCCCACCTTATACCCACCACGACTCGCACGCTTATACCCTGGCTCGCATTTCCACCGTTCTATCTATGCCAGCTACCTCGTGCCCTCTTTCTCCCATGGCCCTAACATTAAACCCTGCACTGCCCTTCAATCAACACATACCCTGCACCTAGCCCTGCCCTTTTGATGAATGGGCCCTATCCCGACCAGCACTGCTGTAACAGGCGCCCTTGAACACACTGTGAGCACTTCTTCTGCAAATTAGACATTCTGCGTTGCACTTTCAATATACCTCTACAGTGCCCATGCATTAGCGCTGCCGTGGCCCCGGTCAGCACTGCCCCCAGCCCGCTGGGTTCTACCTCAACACTCACCCCAAAAGCCCTGCCCACTGCCATGTCCACCACTCTTATATATGCCTCTTGCCTAGCACGGCAAAGACACGATAACTCCCCGAGGTGAAATCCCCTGCCCAGGGGCAGCTCCTCCCGGCACTGCCCTTCCCATGCCGGATCTCATCCACCTCCACTGGACCTCGCCTCAGGTGTCCCTCCCCCAGCTCCTTGCCCCTGTGCAGCCAGCTCAACTCTCCCCTGTCAATCACAGCGCTGCTCATCACAACCCTCTCGCCGCGCTCCTTCCAACACCACGCTCTCCTCTGCCCTGCCCACCCTGTGACCCCCCATGCCCGTGACCCCCCATGCCCCTGTGACCCCCCATGCCCCTGTGACCCCCATGTCCCTGTGACCCCCCATGCCCCTGTGACCCCATGCCCCTGTGACCCCCATGCCCCTGTGACCCCCCATGCCCCTGTGACCCCCCCATGCCCCTGTGACCCCCCATGCCCCTGTGACCCCCCATGCCCCTGTGACCCCCCATGCCCCTGTGACCCCCCATGCCCCTGTGACTCCCCATGCCCCTGTGACCCCCCATGCCCCTGTGACCCCCCATGTCCATGTAACCCCCCATGCCCCTGTGACCCCCCATGCCCCTGTGACCCCCCATGCCCCTGTGACCCCCCATGCCCCTGCCAGCCCTGCACCTCCCGGCCGTGCCCTTCTACTCATCCCTCTCTACCTCCTCTCCCCGCCATCCCCCAAACTCACCGACTCCGTGTTTCTCCTTCGCCACCGGGCACCATCGCGCCATAGTCGGCGCCTGCACCGCGCAAGAGGCGTAGGGAGACGAGGTGGACGAGCAGAAGAGAGGAGTCCGGGCACGAGAGACGAGGAGGAGAGGGGGAGACAGCGTCAGCAGTGACAGGTGAGGGGGAACCTCGTCAGTCCACTCAGCGCTCCGCTACAGTCGCCATGTTGGACCGCCTCGTCACGTGGCCCCAACGTGCCCTGCCCGGCACACGCGGACCCCACCCCCTCACCTACGGCCCCGCCCTTATGCACAGCTGAGCCCCGCCCCTGACACTTAGTCCCGCCCCTGACACTGAACCCCACCCCCTGAAACTGAGCCCCGCCCTTTAATACCAAGCCCCGCCCCTTGCACTGAAACCCGCCCCTGACACTGAGCCCCCACCCCCTGACACTGAGCCCCGCCCCTGACACTGAGCTCGCTCCTTGTAATCCCCTGAGGTTCTTCGTCCCGCCCACCAGACTTCCCACAACTCCTCAAGCACCACCCCCTTCAACCACTTAACCCCGCCCCTTACATTAGCCCCGCCCCTCTAATCGCGGTGACTCCTCCTTTGGGGCCGTCCATAAATGACGTCACGCGATTTTGGCCGATTTTTACCACCCCCCCTCGTCACACGGCGTCACAAAAAGTCAGACCCCCCCTCAATTATGACGTCACAAAGCTCTGACCCCCCCCCCCCAAAACCATATTTCCATTTTGAAAATAAAACATGCTTCAAATCACTTTAAACTATTGTCATTGTAGTGCGTATTTAATGTGGCGCTGCACTCTGATGTTGTAGGAGAAAACATTTATTAAAAAGGAGGCGTTGGAAAGCTGAAATTTAGCATAAAATTTACTTGAAAATATTCAACGTCTAACTAAAACTGCAGATGTTCAGAATATTATATTGAAATTCTCTTATAATTATGACATTAAAAGTAATTATAACTATTAAAAAAATACTTTAAACTTTGTAGTAGAATCACATATTCATTCCACAGAATGGAAAGCCCTGGTCGAATCATTAGAATCAAAATGTTTAATAACAATCATTCAAAAAATTTAGAAAATGTATGCTTCTCCATTCTCCCATGGAGAAGCAAAATGCTCCTTCATGGAATAAATAAAAGGTGGCCTTAGTAAATTTAAACAATCAAATAGTTAATAATGAAAATTGATCAAAATTAGTGTTGTTATAACAATTATATTCAATCAATATTTACTTAAAGTTGCGCATTTTGATGTGACGTCACATTTCTCAAACCCCCCCTCCCCCCTCGTCACACATCGTCACACAACGTCACAAATTCTAGATTTAAAGCTTTCGTGACTGCTAGGATCCATACTCTTTGGTTCTATTGGGTAAAGTTATTTTATTTTTTACCTACGTGACTTTACCTAACGTCACAAATGTCTGACCCCCCTCCCCCCCCCCTAGGCGCGTGACGTAATTTATGGACGGCCCCTTCTCAATCCCCGCCTCATCCACTATTTAGCCCCGCCCTGTAGATTGCCCCCGCCCCCCAGTTGCGGTGACTCCTCCTACAACCTCCCCTCCCACCCCTCCTCTGCAGCCCCAACCCGAGGGTTTCTTCGGCGATCTTTGGCACACGTGGATGGGGGAATTCGCGGGCATTCGAATCAAGGTGGATTCATCTGAAGGATATTTAAGTTCAAGTTATATTTAGTTTTGCCAGCTGAGAACACAAGAGACCCAGAGGATAGCCTCATTTGCAGGCGTAACCTAAGGGGAGGATCACCAAAATGACAAAATCAAAACAAAGCACAGCAACGGAGCAATTCGAATTCAGTAAAAATAAACTCACACGAAATATCGAAAATATTGCACAAACAAATTCAATGCTAAATAATACATTCCATGGAGAGTAAGTCGGCCAGGAAAGTACAATTACAAATTACACTTCAGGTTGAGTTGTGCTTAGTTGAGTCCATACATCTTTGTATATACAGTACTTAAATGCTATTTCCACTTAATAAGTATTCTATGGTTATTTCGGTAAAGTCACGTAGATAGAAAAAAAGTGTTCAAGTTCCTCATTGCCTCTTCACAAATTCCCATGGTGACTGCCACAGGAATGTGGAATTTCCATCACTGGCTACAGTCCACCAATCGAGGCGTGAGCACTGCCCCAGTGTTCAGTAAGCAGGGCTGCACTCACTGTGTCGCGAATAGTGTCGGGTGTTGGCCGAGGAAAACCTAACTCAGAATCTGTCGTTTCCATCCTTGAGACACGACAAGGCAAAAATAAGTTGTACGAGGTGGTGGTACCCACATGTTCACCCACTCACAGCTGTGTGCTAATCTACCCCCGTGAATTTGGTCTAATCCTTACCCACGAATTTAGCCCGGTAATTCTGGTTTTCAACTCCAGTGATCAAGACTTTACGACAGCGTTGATCTTCACTGCAAGGCCCCTCGTGGCCTTTAGTGCGGCCCCTGACCTGCGGGCCCCTGACAGTACACAAAGAGTGACAACACCTCCCATTATCGTCATCATCGTGCTGCTGTAAAACCCCAATGGTTTCAAATGTGTTGGCGGCCCTCAAACTGACGTCTTATCGGCGAAAGTGGCCCTCCCCTCTGAAAATGAGTGATGAACGACCTGCCTTACACTTACAGCGGCTTCCACTGAAGTCCTCCCAAAGCACTTGCTAGCCACGGCGTACTGACCCCGTGGGATTAAGCCATGCCATGTCCATTTCGCGCTGAGGTTTAAATTTAGAGTGGACATGATCATCAATTGGGGAGGGCTTACGCCGCCGCCACGACCCCCTTGTGGATGCCCACTGATTGCTGGGTGGCTAGGAGTAAAGGGGGGATGGAGGCAGACGGCGGGCTGGTGTGGCGTGTGTGGGAGAATGTTTTGAACGGGGGTGTTGGTTGGCAGCGTGGGAGAGAGAAGGGAGAGGCTGGGTCACAACAGGGGCGGGGGTGGGGTGCGTGGCCGGGCCACTCGACTGCTGCCGGGTGAGGAGCAGAGAGAGGGAGGGTGAGAGAGAGGGGAGTACAGTGTGGTAGAAGAAGAGTAATAATAAGCGACGTAGGCGGCTGTTCAGAGGTCGACGACGCCTTTTTAGCCGGAGCAAAGGTCCCTTCTCTGCACCGAAGACGTCGAAAATCCCGAACGAATCCCGACGGTACGGAGTGGGCACGCAGGCGGTTTATTCCGCAAGGGCTCAGTGCAGGTTCGGGGGCTGGAGGGGGGAGGGTCTCTGACTACCCTCGCTGACAACTGCCCCGAGACCAGCAGGATCCAGGGAAATGTCAACTTACAGGCTCCACGTTCCTATAACATCGAGAAGCGTAGGGCAGCCAGTCATGCTAAGGTTCTGTAACGGCATTCGTGGTTCACTGGATGAGGTGAATGTGTGTGTGTACTGTATATATGACTGGCATTTAAGCCAGCACTGGCTGTGCATTCGAGGTGAAATCGTGACCTGGTGGTGGTGCAGGAGGAAGCCGTGTGATTTTTGCACCAGATGTTTTTTTTTGCACAAAGGTGCCACTTTCCGAAAGAGGAAACCGCGCGTGTGATGCCACCTCAGGCTTCGCACAAAGGCGAAATTCACACGGGTACTCGGCAGCTTTACCCGCAGGCATTTAAAGAAATTGATGCCAACATGTTTCTGGAATGTTTGCACAACTTCACGTTTTACAAGCGTTGAACCATAATAGTTCAATCACGTGGGGGCCCTCTGCCAGTCATCTGCTGGACGAAAAAGGCCATGCCCTCATAGTGTCCTTCGTGAGGCTTGTTTGACCATACTTCATCGTGCGGGTTGGTGAAGAGGTGGAAGAGGAGGTGGCGGAGGTGAGGGTGGCCAGGACCGAGTCAGATACCACTCGCCACCGATGTTAAATTGTGGATGGGAATCGAACTCGCGTTTCTGGGTTCATCGTTCACGCTGCTAATCACTGCGCCACTCATCCCTGCCGCACTAATAGTAAACACGATAACCAAAATATTTTATTTTATACATATTGTATAGGAACGATTACGTATTCCCGGGGAATAAATAAGTGCATTGTAGTTTTTCAAAGGGAATTCCTGTTGAAATGGCATCACCAGTTTAATAAAGCACCGCCACGGCTATAATGCTAAGCAATGGAAGTTACGGAGGCCAAAATCACTGAATGTGTTTCCTGCAACAACAGCCACATGTACGGCAGTTTTGCGGTATAATCTTCCAGGGCTACTCGTCGTCATGATTTCAGGCTTTGCTGACCAAAGACCAGTTACTTGCATCACAATGTGGCTCTGATGGCACACTAGTCATAGAAATGGTGATTGTAAAGCGTGTACGTATATGATAATACCAATTATTATAATGTCTAGTATACAGCGTCGTTCATGCAAATTGCATCTCACAATCGCCGAGGAGCCACAGACAAGCTGGAAGGGAGCCAGACGGTGAGTTGGCACCAATAATTTCCCGAGCTCTGGGTTCGTACCCAGTATCTTAGCCGGAACTGGAGGAACAGGAGGATTTCTCCACAAATCTAGGTGTCGTCTGATGATGCTAGTTGTAATTACTGGCGAAACGTCGTACTCAGATTGTAAATGTTGTGGATGTACTGTACTAGTAACGAACTGGCACGTTCTGTTTATGTGACAAACCTTAATCATTCGCTGTGTCAGGTGGTGGCGGGTTTAACGACACATTTATGTTTACGTGATCTAACCCAAAAAAACCCCTGTATTATGGATAATATTATTCGCGAAAGCCGACTACGTGTTAAACCAGGTTCTCACGTCAAGTCAAGTTTACTTTGTTGAACCAGCTGAGAACTCAAGAGACCAGGACTAGTCTCATTCGCAAGTTTGACCTAAGGGGGTTCACCAAAATTACAAAATCAAAGCAAATCGAGTACAGAAATGAAGTAAACAGAAGTCAGAGCAAAGTAACCATGGCACATAAGAAATCGAAAATGTTGCACAAATATAAGGGTTCAATAATGCATTCTCTGTAGCGTGAGTCGGCTTGGGAAGATTATTTTTAGACTGGTCACAGCCCAATTACGAATTCATTTACAGAAAACACTACATACTAGCTTTTTGCCCGTCCAAGGACGGGTGTATTGCAGTAAATCTGAATCTTGCAAGCGAAAAGCAGACCGCGACGTGATATTCATTGCATCAATGCGTGTGTAAATTGTAAGGGCGCGGTGACACAGACCTATTTCATTTGAAGGTTATAATCCCTTGTTCATCATGACGTCCGTTTTGCTTTGATGTCTCAATAGCGTTACGGAGATCACGTGACGTGAGGGTTCTGCCTTTGTAATGAGGGTTGTGAGTTGACGCCGAGGAGGGGGGAGGGGGCGCCCCGCCCCCCCCATGTGGAGTGACGTCAGCCGCTAATTATTATGAATGGGGGGGGGGTGTCCGTTTGGAGGACGTCACCTTATAATGATTAATAATGAGGGGGGCTAATGAGGGGGGGCTGTTCGATGTGGAGTGACGTCACCTGCTCATAAATGAGGGGGGAGGGTGCTCCATGTGGAGTGACGTCACCTGAGGGAGGGGTCCATGTGGAGGACGTAACCTTTTCATGATTATTAATGAGGGTGACTGGTCGACGTGGAGTGACGTCACGAGCGTTACACAGACATTATTGGCTCACTATAGTAGGTAGTAATAATGGGGGGGGGGGGGGGTGTCCATTTGGAGGACGTTACCTGCTCATGAATATTAATTAGGGGGGCTGGTCGATGTGGAGTGACGTCACGAGCGTTAAGGACAGACATTCTTGGGTGATTATAGTAGGTATACAGTGATTAATAATCATACAAACCTATACATAGACACAAAATATTTGAGTCGAATGCAATTGTGTTGATGGTCCTAGCACAGTCGCCAATTAATGCACAAAAAACATTTTATTTTTACTAATAAGGCTTATTTCAGCTGTGAGAATTAAAATGTGTTATTTTATTCACATGCCTGGAACGTCTCTGACAGGGCCTGTGAGTTGGCACATCATCCCCATGAGTGTTTGTTCAGGCAGTCACATATCAACCTGGCAAGGATGTACGACCTTGACCTATCCAGTGACCTGCTAACCTACCAGCTTAACCTAGTGACCTAGTCAGTGACCTCCTGACCTACCAGCTGACTTAAGGACCCATAGAGCAACATTGACAGCGCCGACTTCACCAACCATACGGCCGGCCGAGTGGCCAGCTGTCTGGTAGGCCGCCCGACCTATTGACCCCGTGACCAGCTGACGTTTCGCTGGTGATTACAACCAGCTTCATCCGGCGATTATCCAGAATTGTGAAGAAGTCGTCCTGGATTTAACAAAAAAAACTGGGCTGCTGGGCCAGGGCCGTGAACACAGACAAACACTGCCCTGTGCTCGCGTGGGCAGGGAGAGCGCCAGGACTCCCGCCTGCCGTCACGCACCATCGTAGCCAATGTGCCACCCCCGTTCGGCACTTCTCTCCCGGCAACCACGTGGCCCACACATCTTAAGAGCTGTCACTGCCCAGAGGCCGGGAGGTCGCAGGGTGGGTATGCCAAGTAACCACGTTCCATTCATTCGGAGAGTGAAAGGCATGGTTAAAGGACAATGTTTGTAAGTCATGCGTGTCATGACTCTTATTATATGTGGGGTCTTAGGCAAGCGAGGCAGTCTGGACCAAGCACCAAGCCCTTTCTTTGCTGCTTCGACTCAGTTTATTGCAACGTTTTATGGACCCAGCACAAAGTTGGATTTAATAATGACGTACGTGCGACTCTTATTTTCAGCAGACACTCGCAATAATTGCCACTTGGAACCGTAAGCTTCACACTAAAATCGCTTGCACAGAGCTAACAAATGTATCATAATTTATTGGTGTGATTATTCATATTTGCTGATTCCTACTTTCTCGGACATTTGGCCAACATCGCTTTCCATACATGCGCCGAGGCATTCTGCAGCATGGGAGACACAGAGGCATTTTGCCTTCATTTAGACTCATCAGCATGCCATACCCAGCTTCTAACTGACAAGCATTATAAGAGTGAGAAGACCGATACAAACTCTAGGGCCTCTCCAAATTCATACCAACACGGAAAATTTTACTGTACTGTGCATTTCAAGAAAACCTGTAAATAATCGAGTTGTAACGTTTAACATTTCACCCGCGCCAGAGTCTGGAAAGCCTGCTAGCTCAACCTCAGTTAGGGTTCAACACCGCCAATCATCTCTCAAATGTTGATAAAGTACCGATTTGTAGGATATGTAGGATATCATTCCCATTGTCCCCACAATGGGAATGAGGAGTTATCACTGGTCCAATATGTATTTGAACACCAAGAAAGCGAGACACGTATTTAAAATTATGGAATCATGAGACACTGTAGCTCAGCGGGCACAACATTGGGCCCGTGATCTCAATTCGCGAGTTAACATCCAGATCAGAGTTACAGCTCTCTCCCAACACGCACGTGTCCTGTCGAACCGCTGATAGATGAGCACCTCTCCAAGTCGTGTTGGGTCGTGGGAGTTGCTTCACCATACTTCAACCGGTCACTGCGGGTTAGTGAAAGCAGCAGGGAGCGTAGTACGATGCAACGAAGGATTTTGCTACACCGGCCTCTGCTGTCTACCACACAGCCCCGCAGCAGCCGACAGCAACACTTGTCTTTATGCATGTTGATCTCACATCCAGGAACTCTCCGGGCTCAGAAGCTTAGCTTCTGAGATCTGATGAGATCAAATGCATTTTGTGTGATTTCGTCACATGCCTATCCGCGGATTAATTTCGGCTAGGGGTCTGTCCAGGTCAGCGACCCGGAAAAATATTTCCCCAATCCAACACACCACATCCAGTATACCTCCTCGCATGTCTATGGCTGCTGGTCGCGCCATATTCAAATATTCAGTGAAACAGAGGGCCCTGCCGTGGCTTATCCCCAACATTTTGAGTAAATTGATCACCACCTGGTGGCCAGTCAGAGTGAATGCCCCGTGTCACTGAAAACCACCACCGGCACGCGAACGCGTCTCGATGGGCGCGGTGGCCACTTGCGATCAGCGAATGAGCGAATGAAGCTGTGAGCGAGTGAACGAATTGACGAACGAACGACTGCGACAGATGAAGTACGTGAGCACACGGGGGGCAGCAGCTGGCAGCTCGTTCCGAGAGGCGCTGTTCTCGGGCTACGCGGTGGACGGGGGCCTCTTCATGCCGGAGGAGGTCCCGCGGGTGTCTGCCGACACACTGCGGCAGTGGCGGGCCCTCTCCTACCCGCAGCTTGTGCAGAACATCTGCTCCCTCTACATCTCCCCAGACGAGATCCCTGTGCAGGAGCTGGGAGGTACCCCCCCATCTCCACCCTCTCCCCCACACTCTGCTTGGTCTCTTCTCTAAGGGGCGTTCAGCACACGGGATGGAACAATTCGGCCCATTCCACTCTTTGATGAATTGTCACGATTCGTTTCGGTTGGCAGCACTGAGCCATAGCTGGACATTCCATATTCCTATGACCAGGACTAGTCTCTCTTGTCCTGTGATAACCTCTGTTGACTTCCCACAAATTGATACGAATTTCATTAACTCAAAAGGGATGGTAGAATGATTCTACCACCCCATCGGGAATTTAACTCACGACCATCCAATTATTAGTACCCCCACCACAATGCTACCCAGCTACATAAAACATGCCTACTTTTTGATATGTAAGGAAAGCATCTGCACGGTTCCTAAAATTAAATCAAATGTATTAAGTTAGACAAATGGGCCACTCCGATCGATGTTTTTCCTGAAAACGCCTGACAGGTTTCGATTTTTTCTAAATCTCATCAGCAAGAGTGCGGCCTGTTAAACAAATGCTAAAGGGTTGTTCGACTCGATCGGCAAGATGCACTCACAAATGCCATGGGGCCATAAGCGATTTTTTTTACGAAGGCAGAGTGAAGAGAGAAATGGTACCAAATGATAACGTCATTAACACGTAGGCTTTCGCGACCAATACTCATAATTAAGGTAGTTTGGGTTAGATTCCGTTAGTATAAATGTGTCGTTAACCCGCCACAGCCAATTAGTAAGGTTAGTCACGTAAATAAAACGTGCCAATTAGTTACTACTGCAGCCCACCGGTGTGTTGGAGAGTAAATCCACAACATTTACAATTTGATTACTCAAATTGTTTTATTTACGTGACAGACCTTACTGGTTGTCTTTGTCGGGTGGTGGCGGGTTAATGACACATTTATACTCACACGATCTAACCTACAAAAAAACCCCTTTGTTATGGGTGACGTCTTCGCTTTGAAATGGACGCAACACTCTAGTCACCGTGCTGCCGTCGCTTCTCCTGTGACGGCACGCAGCTCTGATCGAGCGGGCCCTCAGCCGGTTTGCCCACAGTGAGGTGGTGACCTTCAAAAGGCTCAGGGATGGCCTCAACGTCCTCGAGCTCTTCCACGGCCCCACCATGGCCTTCAAGGACCTGGCCATGTGCTGCCTGGCACAGTTCATCCTCTACTTCCTGCAGAAGGAGGACAAGCATGTCACCATCGTAGTGGGTGAGTGCCTATTTGTTCAGTCGGGTCATTAGAAGATGCTGCGTTGATTTTAACCTTTGTGGGTTTTTTTTTAATTTAATGATTCAGCATCAAAGTGTGTTGGTCAGAAATGCCTCTGTACCTTGTGCTTTAATCTTACGGGAATTATTTTCAAATATCTAAAGTGTCTGGTGTTTCGTCGAGAGGGCCATGTACGCCAGTAATCCAGCACACTGTGTAGGCGAGGGTTTGGTGGAGCGTACCAAAAAAAAACTCCCTTCGCGTGGGCCTCGAGGTGTCACACCCTGCTCGCCAGGAGAAGGCGATACATCAAAAATGTGGACTCCTCCTATTCCGCCTGTATACAATAGAGTTTAACACGTACGCGGGTTTAACGGCACATTTATATATTTACGCGATCTAATTGAAAATAAACTCTATTATGGATACAATAGAGTGTTTCCCCCTTGCATGCGTGGGGCTTCTCCGCATGCTCAGGTTTCCTCCAACGTGTCAACAACTCAATTATTGGCCGATAACACCTTAACGTGTAGAGGATCACAGAGCTTCGGCAAATGTTGGCATCGGTTCACTGCCCGCCTGATGCTTTCCCTCCTGCATGCGTGCTTCCTAGCCACCCTGTGAGCCGCTCGCTCTCTCGCTCTACGAGAGTGAGTGCCTCACCGAGCGGCAGTCGAAAAACCTATTGCGATGATCAGTATCTTGTAGTAAGCAGTGAAGAGCTGGTGGTAACAAGAGCAGCCGCGGTGTGCGGCAGTGCCGGATGAAGCTAGTGCGGGGCCTGTAGCATATGTTATAAAGGGGGGCATAAATAAATAAAACCCCCATAAATATTAAAACACACATTTTTTTACTTGCATAGTACAGTAATTTTACGTTTTAAATTGCTATACAGCCAGATAATATGATAAATCGCTAACATTAAACACCCAGTCGTTCATAAAAGTTGAAGGCGGTATAGTACTGTAGTGATAGAGCAAGTGCAGAATCACTGAACCGGAATTGATAGCTTGAAAGCATTTAGCGCGGGGCCCTTGAAAGTGCGGGGCCCGTAGCTACTACTACACGTGTAGCTGCTACTGCACGTGTAGCTGCTACTGCACGTGTAGCTACTACTACACGTGTAGCTACTGTTGCTAATACGATGATCCGGCACCGGTGTGTGGGTGCGCGCGCTTCCCCCGGCTCACGGCAGGGACCTCGGGAGACACGGGCGGCTCGGCGATCGCCAGCTTGCGAGGGGCGAAGCGCGCCGACGTGGTGGTGCTGCTGCCCGCCGGACGCTGCAGCCGCGTGCAGGAGCTGCACATGACCACGGCGATGGAGGAGAACGTGCACGTGTTCACAGGTGAGCCCCTCCCCCGGTCGCCGACGTCCCCCCCCGACGTTCCCCGGCGACGCGAAACGCGCGCACGAGGGTCGCCAATGTCGACGATAGCAACCACGGGGAGCGTCATCAGAATCGGAATATTTATTTGGGCTGGAGAAGGAATCCGATGAGCTGTAAAGCTCTTTTTCACAGATGTCCAGTAGGGGCGGGTAAGAACGATACAACTACAAACAATAAAAAAAAACCATGATAGTAGTACAAGAAAGGTAAACATCACCCAGACACATACAAACACAACTCAACCATCCCCACCCCGTCTGCACCACCACTACCACCAACGGCATACATTTAGATTTTCACGCTATTTTCCCTATTAGATCTGCCTGTCGTTGAGTAGAATTCATCACCTATACCTTATTTCGATTTTATTTCGTATTCATCGTACGCTAAAGGCATTCCTTTGACAAAATATAAAGGATATGTAAAGTCCTCTCTCTCTCTCTCTTATCTGATGGGGTAGATAGACACGCGGGGCAGGAGCCACAGACACAGAAACTCGAGCACCCGAGGTCTCCAAGCGGACCCTAGGGGGCCCGTCGCAACCCCTCTGCTGAGTGAGCGAAGGGGCCAGTGACGGAGCTCTTCCTGGCAACCCCGTGTCCGGCCGTACGAGGCCGTCCGTGTCAGTCGGCAAACCGATCTTGAGCGTCATCCGCCTCTCGCGGGGCTCCCTGGAGCCTCCTTCTGGCGCAGCAGTGACGCGATCAAGACGAAGGATTGGTTGCCGTCGTTGTGACCGCCGTGATGACCACCCACGTGTGTGTTCCCCCCCCCCCAATCCCCCCCAGTGGAAGGCTCGTCGGACGATCTGGACGAACCCATCCGCAGGCTGTTCGCCGACTCCGAGTTCTCGTCGCGCCACGGCGTCATCAGCATCAACTCCATCAACTGGGGCCGTGTGCTGGTGCAGGTCGCTCACCACTTCTACGCGTACTTCCGCTGCACGGATGGCGGCGGCGGCGGCGGCGGCGCCGAGGTGGAGGAGGAGGAGATGCCCACCGTGGAAGTCGTGGTGCCCACGGGGGCGGCGGGCAACGCCGCTGGTGAGTCGAGGGGGGCACGCGAGGGAAGAATCAGAGTCGGAATGAGAATATTTATTAATGCTGGAGGAATCTGATGAGCGATGAAGCTCTTTTTCACGGTTGTCCAGTCGGGGCGGGTAAGAACGCTACAACAACAAACAGTACGAACACAACAAGGATGGGTGGGTGGGTAGGTGGCACCGCATGCACCATCGCTAACCATCCAACTGTTTTAACAAAGTAAATAAATTCCGGCCAAACAATCGGGTGAAGGCCTCTCCATGCCATGCTGGTTGGTTATGGGGATTTCGTGAGCACTCTTCGTGCAGGGTGCTGAAGCGGTGGGAGGGCAAGGACTGGCTCTGATATCACTCACCACGAATGTCAGAGCCGTGGCCAGGAAATCGAACTCGGGTCGCCGAGTTCACACCGCAGCGCAATAACGGCAGCGGCGACCACCGCTCCTTCCGCCACTGCTAATTAATTAACGATTGATTTTCCACGAGAGCATTGCTGTTTGGCACCACATTTCCCGTCCCGGCAACGAGCCGTGTCGCTAGTCGCTCGTGAACAAGGGCACGGAGGGAGGGCTGCGGGATTTGCGCAAAGAAAAAGTGCCGGAGCATTGGGCCGAGACTCCAGCAGAACCCTGCCGCCCGGCGTCACAGCCGGGTGCGTCGCGAGGCGGATGGGGCTGCCGATCCGGCTGCTGTGCGCCGTCAACCAGAACGACGTCGTCCATCGCGCCCTGCGGAGCGGAGACTTCAGCGTGGACGGCGCCGTGAAGCCCTCGCTGGCCTCCGCCATCGACATCCAGGTCGCGTCCCTCGCGTGCCGTCGCCCGTCTGTGCACAAACCACAGCCGGCTAGCGGCGGCGTAGCTTCAACTGAAACTAAACTATACAACTATTTTAGTTGTTTTACCAGGTAAGGCCCACTGAGCTATGTGGCTCTTTTTCAGAAGCGGCCTGGCCGTCACAAATGATTGCTCGACGAAGTGGCTTACCGCGTGGAAATTTATAGAAGCAAAACACTCTAAACGCGTAATGTTGATTCTGAATATGGGGGGGGGGGGGGGGAACGGGGGGCCCCGGAGAAAAATCCACGCGACCACGGGGAGAGAGACGCAAACTCCAAATATACAGCAGCAGGCGTCAGGGTCGGGACCGAACCCACGACCTCCTGTATACCAGGCGAGGTAGTTAACATCTTGCCACCGTGCACAACCGCACCCGGCTAGTCACAGCATAGCTATCTGTGCACAGTACACAAACCCTCTTGTCAAACCGCTGCCGGATGAGGGCCTCCCCACGCCGTGTGGTTCCGGGAGAATTATTTGACTTCACGCTGATCGATGCAGGTTGGTGAAGGTGGGCAGCATACACCTGGGAGCACAGATGTCCTCTGGTCGAACACCTTGTGGCGTCTTCTGGTCGAACACCTTGTGAGACTAGGCTCGAAAGAAAGCTGTCTCTGGTGTGGACCAATCAGTTTCAAAGACAATGCATATACAGTAAAACCTTGGATTGCGAGCATAATTCGTTCCGGAAACGTGTTTGTAATCCAAAGCACTCGTATATCAAAGCACTCGTATATCAGTTGTGATCACGTGACGCTCAGCAGACAAAGCGTACACGTACTACTCGTATTGCAAGACCTCGCTCGTTTATTAAATTAATATTTATTTTTAAAAATTGCTCGTCTTGCAAAACACTCGCAGATCAAGTTACTCGCAATCCAAGGTTTTACTGTATTATCAGAGTATGTTTTTTGTTTGCATTCTGACCACAAGCATTGTGGTTAATGCAGACATGATTCCTTGCAAAAGGTTTAAGTTTAGTGTTTTAACAACTTAATGCCCGTTTTGTTGCCAGAAAAAAGGGGAAAACCTCTTATCATATTTTGGTACTGGCAAAGGAGGTCCTATGACCGTGTGTGTGTTAGACTCTCGTGTGTGTGTTAAACCCTGGTGTGTGTGTTAGACTCTCGTGTATGTGTTAGACTCTCGTGTGTGTGTTAGACTCTCGTGTGTGTGTTAAACCCTGGTGTGTGTGTTAGACTCTCGTGTGTGTTAGACTCTCGTGTGTGTGTGTTAGACTCTCGTGTGTGTGTTAAACCCTGGTGTGTGTGTGTTAGACTCTCGTGTGTGTGTTAAACCCTGGTGTGTGTGTTAAACCCTGGTGTGTGTGTGTGTGTTAAACCCTGGTGTGTGTGTTAAACCCTGGTGTGTGTGTCTGTGTGTGTTAGACTCTCGTGTGTGTGTTAAACCCTGGTGTGTGTGTATTAGACTCTTGTGTGTGTTAAACCCTGGTGTGTGTGTGTGTGTGTTAGACTCTCGTGTGTGTGTGTTAAACCCTGGTGTGTGTGTGCGTTAGACTCTCGTGTGTGTGTGTTAAACCCTGGTGTGTGTGTTAGACTCTCGTGTGTGTGTTAAACCCTGGTGTGTGTGTGTGTTAGACTCTCGTGTGTGTGTTAAACCCTGGTGTGTGTGTTAGACTCTTGTTTGTGTTAAACCCTGGTGTGTGTGTGTTAAACCCTGGTGTGTGTGTTAAACCCTGGTGTGTGTGTGTTAAACCCTGGTGTGTGTGTGTTAAACCCTGGTGTGTGTGTGTGTGTTAAACCCTGGTGTGTGTGTGTGTGTGTTAAACCCTGGTGTGTGTGTGTGTGTTAAACCCTGGTGTGTGTGTGTTAGACTCTCGTGTGTGTGTGTTAAACCCTGGTGTGTGTGTTAAACCCTGGTGTGTGTGTGTTAAACCCTGGTGTGTGTGTGTGTTAAACCCTGGTGTGTGTGTTAAACCGTGGTGTGTGTGTGTTCAACCCTGGTGTGTGTGTGTTAAACCCTGGTGTGTGTGTGTGTTAAACCGTGGTGTGTGTGTTAAACCCTGGTGTGTGTGTGTTAAACCCTGGTGTGTGTGTTAAACCCTGGTGTGTGTGTGTGTGTGTGTTAGACTCGTGTGTGTGTTAAACCCTGGTGTGTGTGTTAAACCCTGGTGTGTGTGTGTGTGTTAAACCCTGGTGTGTGTGTTAAACTCTGGTGTGTGTGTTAAACCCTGGTGTGTGTGTTAAACCCTGGTGTGTGTGTGTTAAACCCTGGTGTGTGTGTTAAACCCTGGTGTGTGTGTGTGTTAAACCCTGGTGTGTGTGTGTTAGACTCGTGTGTGTGTTAAACCCTGGTGTGTGTCTGTGACCCACGTGCGCACTGCAGGTTCCCTACAACATGGAGCGCGTGTTCCACCTGTGCTCTGACGCCGACACGGCCCTGGTCCGAGACGTCATGACACGCTTCTATGAATCTGGCCAGGCCAACCTCCCCGCGACCCTGCAGAGTAAGGTGTGCACACACGCATCTCTACAGAGCACGGTGTACACACACACAGCTCTACAGAGCACGGTGTACACACACACAGCTCTACAGAGCACGGTGTACACACACATCTCTACAGAGCACAGTGTACACACACACACAGCTCTACAGAGCACGGTGTGCACACACACACACAGCTCTACAGAGCACGGTGCACACACACACACCTCTACAGAGCACGGTGTACACACACACACAGCTCTACAGAGCACGGTGTGCACACACACACCTCTACAGAGCACGGTGTGCACACACACACAGCTCTACAGAGCACGGTGCACACACACACACCTCTACAGAGCACGGTGTACACACACACACACCTCTACAGGGCACGGTGTGCACACACACACACACACCTCTACAGGGCACGGTGTGCACACACACACAGCTCTACAGGGCACGGTGTGCACACACACACCTCTACAGAGCACGGTGTGCACACACACACAGCTCTACAGAGCACGGTGCACACACACACACCTCTACAGAGCACGGTGTGCACACACACACCTCTACAGAGCACGGTGTGCACACACACACACACCTCTACAGAGCACGGTGTACACACACACACACACACCTCTACAGGGCACGGTGTACACACACACACAGCTCTACAGAGCACGGTGTACACACACACACAGCTCTACAGAGCAAGATGTCTACATACACACACACCTCTACACAGCAAGATGTCTACATTACACACACACCTCTACAGAGCAAGATGTCTACATACACACACACCTCTACAGAGCAAGATGTCTACATACACACACACCTCTACAGAGCAAGATGTCTACATACACACACACCTCTACAGAGCAAGATGTCTACATACACACACACCTCTACAGAGCAAGATGTCTACATACACACACACATCTACAGAGCAAGATGTCTACATACACACACACCTCTACAGAGCAAGATGTCTACATACACACACACCTCTACAGAGCAAGATGTCTACATACACACACACCTCTACAGAGCAAGATGTCTACATACACACACACCTACAGAGCAAGATGTCTACATACACACACACCTCTACAGAGCAAGATGTGGACACACACGCCTCAGCTGCACGACAATTCAAAACCTTCGATTTAAAGCTTTCGTGACTGCAAGGATTCATCTTCTTTGGTTCTTTCGGTAAAGTCACGTAGAATGAGAATAAAATAATAAATTGATAAAATAAAATAACAATAATATTCTCACGACGTTTCGGCCACAACACAAGCGGCCTTCATCAGGTGAAGGGACGAGACTGTCTGGTAGGACAGCGCTGGAGTCTAGAATATTATTGTGTTATTTTATTTTATCAATGTATTATTTTATTCTCATTCTACGTGACTTTACCGAAAGAACCAAAGAAGATGAATTCAAAACCTCTTCCTAACCCTGGCCTAAACCAACCAAGCCAACCAACACCGAGCACTAAGCCAACACTGAGTGCTACATCCAACGCACGCTCATTCTGGCAAATTGCCCTCTGAAGCTCGTTGTTAATTGTTTTTTTTACCATTTTATCTGGCGACAAAACTGACACCTGCTTTCCGACCGCAGGTATTGTGGTGAATGCAAACATGACTCCCTGTAAAGAAAGTGTCAGTTGTGTTGCCAGATAAAAGGGTAAAAAATAAATTATCATATTTTGTTTCTGGCAAAGGAGGTTCCAAAGCTCGTTGTTGTTGTTTCAATCGAAACGTCGTTCTCAAATTGTAAATGTTGTGGGTTTACTCTCCAACACACCGATGTGCTGAAGTAGTAACTAAATGGCGCGTTTTGTTTACGTGACAAACCTTACTAACTGGCTTTGTCTGGGTGGTGGTGGTGGGTTCACGACACATTTATATTTACGCGATCTAACCCCCAAAAAAAAACCCTTTGCCATGAATAACATTTGGTCACGAAAACTGGCTGACGAACCCGCTAGCCTCCACCTCCGGTCCGACTTGTCGGAGCTAACACGGCCCTACCCCCGCATGGCACGGGGGCCACGGGCAGATGCGGGAGGCGCTCTCCTCGAGTGCCTTGAGCGACGCCGACATCTCGGGCGCCATGCAGCGATGCTGGCAGGAGAACGCCTACCTGCTGTGCCCCCATTCCGCTGTCGCAGTTGCCTTGCACTACAGCCGGCCGACGCCGCCCGGGTGAGAGCGTCCCCCCTCCACCCCCCCCCCCCCGGGGGCCCTTTCCAATGCTAGCGGCTCTTTCTCAAAAAAACAAGTCGACTTCCCATTTTGCGCTTCGCGTTTTTTTTGTTGCGTGACATTTTTTGGCAGCGCCCTGGCTGGCGTCCTGTGTGTGTGTGCAGGTTGGAATTTATCTCGCACCTTACGGAGGCAACCGCGCCGGCCGGAGGAGGTGCGGGATTAGAATCGCACGGGAATGATTAGAGTCGTGAGAATCGCACTGTGCTCGTATTCGAGTCACGCTGTCGTTGAGTCACCGCCACCACCCACTGTGATTCTAATACGTGGAAACCTTCAAGACCTATGTACCGATAGACCGAAGCTATATTTTATTTGATTTGGTGCTTTCGTGACTGCAGGAATTACTCTTTGTTTTTTTTTTGTGACTTTACCGAAAAAAACAAAGGGAGGCTATAGTTTATTATTTTGGTGAAATTTACCTTTGCCTGTTTGCTATTTGGCACAATCCACCGCAGTCGAGCGTAACGTGTTATTTCGATTGTGTAATGGCAATATGATAGTGGTGATCATAAGTCAGTATCTCTGTCCGAGTCCATTGGTGAACCTCAGCCACTGGTGACAATGCCACATTCCCATGGCAAGAGCCAGTCTATCCTTAAGACCAACAACTGCTGACGGTTCACCAACTGTTATTGAGTTTATCGACCTCAAGAGTAATGATGGGCTGAGCCGATCCACATTTGAGACACGGAATCTAACCTAATGGTTCATGATAATGGTAATGATGTGAGATTAAAAACGGGCCACTTAGCACACATTAGTGTGTTTGTGTGTGTGTGTGTACACATACGTGTACGCATACATTAGTGTACACACACAATAGTGTGGCGGTTGCTACGAACCTGACGACCCAAGATCATTTCTGCGTATGACCCACATCGCTGACGGAATATCTGAACCGGTTCTACGCCTCCCCTAGGTTGACTCTGCTTTAGATGAGTACCTGGTGCGGTGTGTAAACATCACCATTGGCGAGACAAATGCGGTCGGGCGTGGTGTGCTTGCCATACCAGCCTTCAAAGGTGCTCACTCACAGCACTTTTCCCCAAAGGTCTGACGAAGCTAACACCAATGGGGATTACCTGTGAACAGTCAGTAACAGGTACTGCTATTTTAGTGCAACACAAGCGGGAGGTTACAGGAGTTACAGGAACAATGTGCGTGCACAATGTTGCGTTGATTAGCATATGAATAACCCAGCCGGTAATAGGTACCCATTGCGATTTGTGTGCATTCATTAATCTCCTCTAACTTGGCACGGGAAGGGCTCACAAGTGACGTCATCACACCTACCCCTCTATTTAAGGAACGAAACAGGAGGATTTCTCCACAGATCTGGCTGCCGCCTGAGTAAGCTAGTTGTAATTACTGGCGAAACGTCGGACTCAGATTGTATATTGTCGATTTGCTCTCCAACACACCGGTGTGCTGTACTCGTAACGAATTGGCACGTTCTGTTCACGTGACAAACCTTACTAATTGGCCGTGTCGGGTGGTGGCGGGTTTAACGACAGAAAAAAAAAACCCTTTTATTATGGACGGGGGAAATATTTGCCTTTGTGCGTGGGCCGCAGCGCGCACAGGGTCTGCCTTGCGACGGCCTCGCCCGCCAAGTTCCAGGAGGTGGTTGAGCGCGTCGGCCTTCGCCAGCCGGAGCACCCCGAGGTCGCAGCGCTGCGCGGCCTCCCCCAGCGCAGCGTCCCCATGCGCCGCGGCGACGACTGGGACGCGCTGCTCCGCAACGCAGTGGCACGCATCTCCCGCCGGCGCGCGTCGCCCGCCCCCTAAGCGCAACGTCGACGCTCGCACCACCGCTCGCACCACCGCGCGCACCGCCGCTCGCACCACCGCTCGCACCACCGCTCGCTCCGCACGCAAGCTCCGATTGGCTACGTACGGCGCCGAAGAAGTTTTCAGCATGCACACGTGCACGGCGGTTATATCCGTCTGTTAAACTCTCGGACGGTTGTTGGCGACTGAACAGGCGACCGCGGTGCGAAATGTGCGCTGTGTGATCGTTGAAATAATTTCTTGTTCTGCAGTCATATACACCTGATTTGTACAGCATTCAGTAGTTTGTTGATTGAAGTGAAGAATAAATATTGCTGTGGAAACTAATGAAAATTATTCCTGGTAAAAAGCCACACATATGAGCATGTATGGTTGGAACTGCTTTTATTGATTTACAAATTACTGTAGTGCCTCCTACTTAAAAGGGCTTTAAAGGCATCTAATGCACATGATCACTCCTTCTCAGTTGCCGGATTACATGCGTGCTACATCTAGACATTTGGATGTTTCTTTGTTCAGCAAATACTCTGCTTATTGTATCTTCTGTTGAATCAACTGCACCATGAAAGGCGCATGGATTGACAACACTAGACCTCAAATTTGCCTACAGCACAAAACCATGCACGGCTATGTACATCAAACCTGTCACGGTTGGTAACCAGATGGGTTCCGATGCTAACGCCTGTATCAAAGCACTTGGCCCGCGCTGCTGGAATTCTGAATCCAAATCACAGGATATCAAGTGGTGAGTTGATAGTCACAGCCTGGTTGCTGATAATTGCACATATACATTTTAGTTTTAAATTCAGACCAGCTTCCTAAACGGCAATAACGCCGAGTTGCTGGCTTGGTTCTGGGTAATAGAGATCCATTGAGAATACAAAAGTATCGTGTTCTATACAGTGATGGAAAAAAGTATTTGATCCCCTGCTGATTTTGTACGTTTGCCCACTGACAAAGAAATGATCAGTCTATAATTTTAATGGTAGGTTTATTTGAACAGTGATAGACAGAATAACAACAAGAAAATCCAGAAAAACGCATGTCAAAAATGTAATAAATTGATTTGCTTTTTAATGAGGGAAATAAGCATTTGACCCCCTCTCAATCAGAAAGATTTCTGGCTCCAAGGTGTCTTTTATACAGGTAACGAGCTGAGATTAGGAGCACACTCTTAAAGGGAGTGCTCCTAATCTCAGCTGGTTACCTGTATAAGAGACACCTGTCCACAGAAGCAATCAATCAGATTCCAAACTCTCCACCATGGCCAAGACCAAACAGCTCTCCAAGGATGTCAGGGACAAGATTGTAGGCCTACACAAGGCTTGAATCGGCTACAAGACCATTGCCAAGCAGCTTGGTGAGAAGGTGACAACAGTTGGTGCGATTATTCGCAAATGGAGCTCTTTGGCATCAACTCAACTCGCCGTGTTTGGAGGAGGAATGCTGCCTATGACCCCAAGAACACCATCCCCACCGTCAAACATGGAGGTGGAAACATTATGCTTTGGGGGTGTTTTTCTGCTAAGGGGACAGAACAACTTCACCGCATCAAAGGGACGGTGGACGGGGCCATGTACTGTCAAATCTTGGGTGAGAACTTCCTTCCCTCAGCCAGGACATTGAAAATGGGTCGTGGATGGGTATTCCAGCATGACAATGACCCAAAACACATGGCCAAGGCAACAATGGAGTGGCTCAAGAAGAAGCACATTAAGGTCCTGGAGTGACCTAGCCAGTCTCCAAACCTTAATCCCATAGAAAATCTGTGGAGGGAGCTGAAGGTTCGAGTTGCCAAACGTCAGCCTCGAAACTTTAATGACTTGGAGAAGATCTACAAAGAGGAGTGGGACAAAATCCCTCCTGAGATGTGTGCAAACCTGGTGGCCAACTACTAGAAACGTCTGACCTGTGATTGCCAACAAGGGTTTTGCCACCAAGTACTAAGTCATGTTTTGCAGAGGGGTCAAATACTTATTTCCCTCATTAAAATGCAAATCAATTTGACATTTTTGACATGCGTTTTTCTGGATTTTGTTGTTATTCTGTCTCTCACTGTTCAAATAAACCTACAATTAAAATTATAGACTGATAATTTCTTTGTCAGTGGGCAAACGTACAAAATCAGCAGGAGATCAAATACTTTTTTTTCCCTCACTGTAGGTGTCAACATTCTCTGTGATCCAGTGAACTCATTTGCCACGTTGCTCGAATGCAATTGTACACATGGGGTGATGCTGGTGATATGAAAGAGCAACAGTATGAAATGTACACGAAACACATTTATTCACAACAACACATTGGCCACATCATAAACTTAGTTGTAAAAAAATACACGTATATAAATTTGACACAAAGAGATTGGCTGCCACAACAAACATAGAACATTGTAGAATTAAGACAATGCAGATTTTGTGAAAAAGACAGGTCTACCAATGGTAAACAACACACCCTTTTACACTAGGTGATAGTGCTTAGGTTACATGAGCAGTGACAGTTTAATTTGTATTGCGGATTCAACTTTCATGTAAGTTAGGATACAACAATATTATTTATTTAAATAGAGCACGGATGGGCATAACTTACGCCTAAGCCCAAGAGACCTGGAGGAGCGACGAGCCCGTGATAAAACAGCTTGTATACCTGAAGCAAACATGTTAACATTATGATGACTGTGGTGCTGTGCTTATGGTGAGAGATTCACAGTCGAAAGGTTCCAAGTTAAAATCCAGACCAAGTTTGGCTTATCATCCCTACATGGTTGATAGAACGCGTACCACACTATAGGCAGCTCAACAGACACGGACTAAGAATAACGGTGGTCATCAGCAGCCACTCCTCACATTAGGGTCCGGCTCAGTGTTTAAAGTTGATGGCTGTGGACTGAAGGCGATGTACGTTGGCAAGGAGTGCTTAAACTGTTTACCGACCGCTCCAGTCAATAGTAATAGGTTTTACCCTTTTAACTGGCACAAAAACTGACACCTTTATTCAAGGCATCATGTTTGCAATAATCACAACACAAGCAGTCAAAATGCAAACAAAAGAGACAACTCTGATAATAATATGGATTTTGATGATGCCAAAAGGCATACTACACCTTTTGGCGTCATCTGGTCCAACACCAGTGGAGACTAGGCTCTAAGAAAAGCCATCTCGGGTGTGGACCAATAAAATTCAAGGACAGTGCATATTATTATCAGAGTTGTCTCTTTTGTTTGCATTTTGACTGCTTGTGTTGTGGTTATTGCAAACATGATGCCTTGAATAAAGGTGTCAGTTTTTGTACCAGTTAAAAGGGTAAAACCTATTACTATATCTTGTTACTGGCAAAGGTCTCATAATGTAAACGCTCCAGTCAAGTTCACGGTCATTACATCCTTTTATTCCATCTGCAGTAATGATCACAAGCTTGTGTTTTAACACAATCCATTATTCCTCTGTAGATGATGGGCTGTGGGGGAGGCTGACGTAAGACTGTGGAATATCACCATGGGTTCAAAGCTGTAAATGGAGAGGACTACTGCCCAATGCTTGTCTGAGCATGGAGACAACTGATTTCAATTGAAATTAAAATAACAAAAACACCATTGAAAACATGTGCACAAAAGGCAACCATGTTTCTGGTTTAAATAATATTTCCTTTAGCCGAGTAAAAGTGCATAATTTGTTGCATAACGAATTGGAAATTTTTAAGCATTCGACTTTGAGAGCCATTATATTGTGTGAAGAGAGACGTCTATTACTGCAATTCCATGGTCTGCTCTATTTTTATGGTACTATCAAAATCATGAAGTTTGAGTTTATAAAAATTATCTCATTATTATGTTTAATTGTGTTTACATTTAGAATTGTATTCTTGCACTGCACACAGCTACACACCACAATATGTAAGGACACAGCAGAGTAAAAAGTGTAAAAATTTTTTTGATATTCTCAGTTGTATAGAAATTAAAACAATCACGACCTACAATGTCAACAACTGTGCTCATGAGAAGCATATGTGTAGGTTGTTAGGCGTCTGATTTATCATATTATTATACCAATGGCAGGACTTTTTGATAATTTTACAAAACAAAAACCATGCCATTCGCAGGTCTCAGGAACTGTGAAATTGTAGTGCGTATATATTGTACCCTCCTTGACTCAAGACAGCCATGGCTTCATGGTTGGTAAAATGAGTATCACTTTATTTGAAGGCAATAGTAGTTGAAATGTGAAGAGACAGGCTTCGGCCATAGGAATGTAGTATTTCCACCGCTGACTCGGCATCATCAGTGGAGTTTTGGTTGCGCCCACAATCGTTCGGTACACTCAGGCACTTTTAATTTCGACATGTCTTCCTTTGAGATTACGGCTTTGCTCTTAGAGCTTCCCCAATCTCCCCCAAAGCTTGCAAGCCCCCCATACGTTGTTTGCCTTGAACCGTGCTCCTCCAGAGGCGCTGGAGTCACTCCCACGCTGTGCTTCGACCCAGCAATTTGTTGGTTACTCTCTGCAACACACAAACGCAGGAACACGAGCTCTCAAAAGTACTTCCTTGTACATGTCGAGTGCACGTTTATGGAGGTGGAAGGAAAATGATGGATAGGGGTGGAACAGCCAGCCAGGGAATAAGATCTTGCAGACATGGTAATCAAAACAACTTTGGCATTCTACTGCAGGATTGAGCTTTGATTAGAATGTAAAGCAAAATGAAACCTTCGACTGTAAAAAGACTCTCCCTATTCAAAAATAATTTTGGGTAGAGCTCATCTCTGTTGGTACCTACCCCTTTAGCCAGCACTATAAATTCTACATTCCCGTGACAGGGGCATGTCTCTCCCTGGGACAAACACTACCTGGCCAGATAGTGCCGAGGTTAGGAACCTCAATTTGCGATTGGGTCGCATCTTCAAAAGTCGGTTGTGCAGTTGGCTCGGTCCATCATCCATCGAGGAGAGATGCAATGAGTACCCCTTAGTGGGAAGTCAAAAGTGGTTATCTCGGGAATATTCTGGTCCTCGCCACAGGAATGTGGAACCTCCAATGGCGATGAACAATGCAAAACGCTTGTGCGAGTGTGGGGGCACAGACCTCACAGTTGCGTATCATTGAATACAAATCAAAGCACTCGCACGGAGTGTGTCCGTACACACTGTATATGCACTCTGATCCCTTGAATGCAAAGATGCCCCCCATGTGCAGAGGGGGTTGGTTGGGAAGCGTCTCACCCTTTGGAAGTTGTCGGCCTTGAGGCGGTTAGACTGGTACTCGGCAAGCTTCTTCTCCACCTCTCGCCGCCTCCTGATCTCGGGTAGTTTCTCGTATAGCCTGTGTGTGCGTACGCATGCGTATGCGCACACACGTACATGCACATGTGTAAATGCAAAGATCCCCCGTACGGGCTTAACAGACTATTCGGGCGAGTGTTCCCCGCACCTCCGATTAGCATGGTTGGCTACGTACGGTGCGTAAGAAGTTCAACATATATACATGTAAGTGCTGTTAGAGAGCACCGATGAAGGCCGGCACAGCACGCGAGGGGTTGGGTGGCGAACGCCACACCAGGCCAGCCGCCTTCGTCTCCCGAGCGCTGATGATTACACATTGCACAAGGTACTCATATTAGGCTGAGTCGATCTAGGGGAGGCCCACGACCGGTTCAGATACATGTCACTGGTGTTGGCCGTGAGCGGGAATTGAACTCGGGTCGCTAGGTTAGTACCGCAGTGAGCTAAATGCTGCACTACCGCTCCACATACGTGTAAACAAGTACATATATGCACACAATCTGACAATCAGGCTTGCTCACATACGTGCACACAAGATCCCACGTATAACATACGCACATCACTCACACGTCCGTACGCACACTCATCCACCACTTAGCATTGTCGACATAGGGGCAGTGCTATTAGTCATGTGTGTTAAAGCTGCCACAAGGGGGTGGTGTGGTCAGTACATTGCGGGATCATGGGAGATGGTGGTACAACTTGGGGGGGACCACCTTCATTAAGCATTTGACAGATCGTGGCCAATAATGGTGACATACTAAAAACATTACACGGTATATAATCATCATGGTTGATGATGTTGATTCAAAACAAGCAAACTCTGGACCGGTTTTGACACTCAAGTGCCTCATCAGCAGTCAGGCTTGCTTGGAAAATCCATGTTGCCACAATGACCAGTAATGGAACCTCCAACATCAGCATCCCAGTGCAATACAGTGAACACTGTTACCATTATCCAAACTAAACACACACAAACACACATATAGACAAGATGCACTTTTAAATATAAAATAAAGACCTGCCAGTAAAGAGACGCCATGGCTTGGCACTTACGATTTTGATCGCACAAATGCCTCCTTCTTGGGAACCACTCTCTTCCTTGCCAAAAAGAGATTATCTGCAGGGATGAACATGCCCATAGGTTCACACACAATGACAAATGCCAATTACAAAAAAGAAAACCCATCTTAAAAATCTGCAATATAATGCATGCAGTTCCATTGTGCCAGATTATGTACATTCGTGTTCAGCAGCAACCGTTGGGTTAGAGTAAACACGTTGCAATGACTGATATATGTCAGCTGTAGCTTCAATGGAAAAACAAGTCCAAAATACCGGTGGCCAAGTTGCCTACAATGTTCAAATCAATTTGTGCATGATGATGGTCTCAGCCTGGTAACAACTTATTGCCTATAAATAATGTCAAGTATTTTTTTCATGAAGTCCAGCTTAGCTCTGAGGACTTGAATGTATCACTTTTAGACATCGAGTCTATACAGACAACGGAGCAGCATTCGAGGGCTGAACAGCAGAGGTCTATCCAAGCAATTCCAGTAGCTGTTCCACGGTATCACCTTCTAGAGACATTCCCTGACACGTAGTGTGATGCTGCGTTCAGTTAGCTCAGAATTTGCCACTAACACTGTACTTACTGCACTTGGCAAAGGCAAGGCCTCTCATCCCTGGCAACGATGAAGCTGTAAGAGAGGCAGCAGACAGCAGTGAGGGTGGATGCAGCAGCGCACGGTACCGAAGATGGGGTGGGTTCGGACAGAGCTCGACTGCCCCTGGCCGTGCCGTCGCCGACGTCCCCGCGTCCCCCAGCCGAACAGGCGCTCCCTCTCCTCCTGCCACACGCCCTGCACGCGACGCTCCTCCGACATGAGCTGCAGTCGCTTGATGCGCTCGCGAGAGCGGTACACAAACGCCGGCCGGTTCATGTGGAGGGCCTCCTGTGGGTGGCCACACACAAGACATTCATCAACACTGGTAATGATTCGCTCAGAGGGTGAATTGTTGTCTACCGGTGCTGTGAGTCTTGAGTAACATCTCAACACACAACCTCGATGGGCCAAGGGTGTTCACCTGCAGGGTGAGGCGCTCAAGGGAACGCAGCGTCCCTCCTGCCAGCTCCTCCTCCAGGTCGTGCTGCTGCATCTCCCGGAGAGGCGGCCGGGACCTCAATACACTGCCGACACCAACGGCGGCGCCACTGCCACTCTGCTCCGGGCTGTCCCAGCCAGGGCCATGCCATGCGCTGCTCCTCTCGTATTGGTCGCCCGCGTGCACGGACACGTTCTCCTTCGCCCCTTGTCTAGAGACATCCGAGTCCTGGTCCACACGTCTGTCCAGCGGCACGAACCAGCTCACGGGCTCTGCGACGTACAACAGAGCAACGGGCCCCTATACAGCAACCGGTGTAGTGCTCTTGTGATGCAATGTGATCAACTCCGAGTGCAGTGTGGCTTTGACACAATGCAACCGGATGTTTCAATGGCTAGTAGAGAAGTACCATGATACGAGAACATTTTATGTGTCCGTGAAACATCTGCCACAATGTTGCTGCGATATAACAGAACTTCACGCCACTGCGTCTATGAATCACTAAGCGCAGTGCTGCAGCAACACAACACACGGACACGATTCTATGAAATGCCCATTGTGGTGGAGCTTGGTGTTCCATCATGTCTAACAAGTGGTGCCTTGTTATTGTATTTGGGGAACAATATGTGGTTTGATCAGGTTGGTACTACCTAGGACTTAAAAAATAAAGACACAGATTGTATTGGCATTTTCCCCAATTGTATTATAACTGGGTTTATTGGCACCATGTCATGAGAAGAATAACTGTCCAAGAGTGCATCACCCAGTGTATTGAGAAAGGTCTCTGAAAAGTGGGATCACAGATCTATTTCCATGAAAATAGCTTCTTAGTCATGCTAGAAGCAATGCACCTTCACACATCTCTGATTATATGCGGAATTAAGTGAAAGCCAAATTTGATATTTTATTGCACCGTCAATCGTCAATTCGCTACACTTGAGAAGCTCAGGGTTTGCCTGGATTCAAACTCTGGATCTCAGCAGTGCCGGTTCAGTGGTCTGACACAGAACAAATCCGCTGGGCAACTCGGCCACTTCTCGAGGATGAAAAATTCACTAAGCGAGGCGCCAACGACACCACAAATCAGCACTCAATTACACAAATGGAGTGTGGCAAAGATGGTGGAGAGGAGCGATCGTCTCACTGTGGATCGGGCGCTGGCGTCTGCGGGGGGCGCGGCTCCGCTTGTCGTGCCGGTTCTGCTGCGCCGACGGCACCGTGGCAGCGCCGTCTTTGCCGCTCGCTCGCACGGGGGAACCGCGTGTGGACTCCCTGGGGGGGGCTGCTGTAGCAGCGGCGGCGGCGGCGGCAACCAGAGCCGGGGATGGGAAGGTGACGCCCACATCCCGCGTGCGCCTATTCGCTCCGGGCACCAGCTCCAAGTCTCCTGCACACGAGTGTGTGCGTAGGGGACAGCAGAAAGGCGGCAGCACCATATGAGTTATGTTCCTGAGCATCATTAGCGCCAGCAATTTAGATCCAACGCTGGATGAAGCTCACCTGAAGTTGTCGCCGTCCCTCGCAGCCCTAAATTGCAGCAAATTAATCTCGCTTCTTTGGCGCACGAGCTGATCTCATCGCCCCGTGTCCACGCTGGTAGTCCTCTCAGGCCAGTTCCCTGCTTTGACTGTCATTCTATTACTGGTTTCGTCCATTTGCGTTCATTTTTTTCAGGACATGTTATTGACGAATGTGTAGAGTTACTGTTTCTTGACAACCAGGTTTAATTAAAGGTGGCGGTCTGGATTCGGTTGAACGCTTTCAGTGGTGCCAGCTCAGCACTCAGTCCTCTGAGCCACCTCTCCCAGTTTTCTGAACAGCCAATATAATGGCTATAATTTGTGTTTGTTCTCTGAACCACGTGTTCCTCTTTTTGTCTCTCAATCATTCTCAGCATGCATCTCTCCATTTTTGTGTACTCTCCACCTCTTAAACCATAGTCTTTGTCAATGTTTTACATCCATGTCACAGGCAGGTAATAATGATCTTTTTTAGGAAAACTTTCCAATATGAAAGAAAAATCACTACAAGCATTATTTTGATCTGTTTCATGAGCATAATTAGGACACCATAAACACATTGCATTTGGATAGCGTACATTAGGACTTGTGCTAACTCATGTCTACAAGTGCCGTATCCAATATGATACAATGTATTAAATCTGTTGGCACTTATGTGGTTTATTTGGTGGATAAGAAGACTTTAAAGTTACATTCAAGCATATTGTTATGTAATTATTTTGACGACACTGCGATGTCACTTCCAAAAATTTTAATGTCAGTGCAGTGACGTACTAGACTATGCCGTGGCAGTATACTTGCCCATAACAGTAAAGTATGTTTTCTCTCCAGAATGAAGCTCCACCTTCACGTTGGACAGTCCAGGGCGCACGCCATGTGTACGTACCAACAGGATTATTTATTATTTCTTTGGCCACGTGTTGCTTTTCGGGACCCAAGCACGCACCTGCCTGTACCCCCTTGCTGCGCTGTCTGCCGCGGCTCTTGACTGGAGGTGGCGGTGCCGCGTGGCTGCGCTCCGAGGGGCTGTCTGTGGCAGCGCCGGATGATGACAGTGTGTGCGCCTGAACACAAAACACACAGGGAACCATGCAAGACAAAATGTAAAAGGCCCGTTACGCTCAAGGGCTTCGTTTCAGGAGAGTGGGAATCAGGGCTCCAGCAGCGTTACAGAAAGAGAGTCACCCATTGCTCCATAAAATTTAAAGATGCAAAATTGACACAGTTCAAATACGCTCTATTCATGGTCCAAAAAATAGCTAAAAGTAACCATTTTAAATTTTCACAATAGGACGAAGCATATAATTAATTCTCCCCCCATGCAATCCTATGATTTGTCACGATTCTGAGTCGTGACTCGATCCAAGAAACCATTGGTCTCAATTGTATTATTTCGCCTCGGTTGCACATTTACATTGAACACCTCGGCTTAGGTTGCCACAGGGCACGTTAACTGATCATTAACAGTGGAATAAATATTACCACCGGAGTGAATTGGTGGAGGCCTCTTGTCAGCTACAAACATCACTCCAAGTACAACATCCAGATTCAGAATCTGTATTTATCCTGGGGGAGGAATCTGACGACCTACGAAGCTTTTTTTCGCAGATGTCCATAAGTCTGCCTGAAGGCCGACCCGTCCACTCAAGATGTCTGCAATAGTTTCCCAGTGAAACAGTAATGACTGCCGAATAGGCCTCCGAGCCAGCACAGCTACCCCCTCATGGAACCGCATTGATTTGTTGTTCAATCTCCTGTAAGCAGCCTCTGGCAGGGGCTATTTGCTTCCTTCCTACACAGCTGGCTGACCAGGTGAAAGTCTTAGCTGCAACTGTGGCTGCATCCACCAGGGGTGCATGCAAGTCAGATTTCTCTACCGCTCCCCTTGACGGTGTATATTTCTGTTGCAACAAAGTTGGACATTTATCCTTGCTGGGCAAGGTAGCAATTTTACCTGCTGTATATTGACATCTAAATATAGGGAGCAGTGGTTAATTAAAGCAAGCTATTCAAAAACGTGTAATACATTAATAAACATTAAGACACAATAAAATTCTCCCAATCCTGGCATAAAAGCATGCAACTAAGAAATCATTATTTGTAATTTATACATGGTATGTGCTAATGTATATTTGGGCCATGGTAATGAACGAGAAAGAACAACAAGATTTGAGGGAGACAATATCAATGAAACTGTACAAACAAAACAATAATGGAATGGTGAATCGAACGGTGAACACAATAGAATCGCCCGGGTAGCAACTGCCTCGATCCCTACAAACATGCCGATGCTGCTACACTGCAAGTGAAGGCTGAAGAACGAGGCCCCAACGCAGCCTGCAGGCTCCAAGTTACCCTTGAGCCACGCTCCGCCGCGCCGCTCCGCCGACCCCGCGTCGCCACCTCCACGACCTTCCCTGGTCCCTCTCTCTGCCGGTGCACGGCATCATGCAGGGACCGCAGTGCTGGCGATGACAGACGCACCCTCCCGGGCCCGAACGCGCGCACCAGCCGCGCCGTGTCGATGGTTGACGCGGTCTCCGCCACGCTGCTCGCATCGTCGTGACGTCCGTCCGGGTCTGTGGAGATGGAGGATGCGGCCAGCGAGGATGGCGGCGGCGTCAACCGGCCGCCGCCACCGCGACTATCGCCGCTCCAAGTGTCTTCCAAATCTAAAGACCTCTGGCGACGGTCACCAGTTTCGTCCAACCTGATCGAGGGTTGAGTGGAGGAGACCGTATCCATACCCACCCACATTCCTCCCGTCGGCGTCAACCGGGCACCTTTGCCAACCGATTGCGAGCGCCGGAGATGACGCGCCAGTTCCTCAAGTTTTTGTAGCAGCGCTCCCTCGTCGGCGCCGTCCAGGGCGCGCAGCTGTTCCTGCCGAATGGTGAACCTGCCCCAGAGCTCGTCCAGGCTCGGCTCGGTCGTCCCTCTCGTGCCTCCGCTTGCACCGGGCGAGGTGGATTCGACGCCCGTCGACCGGTGCTGACGGCGCTGCGCGTGCGGTTCTGTGAACTTGCCCGAGCTCTCCTGCCAGACCCGCCGCTCAGCACGTCCCGTGCGCTCGTAGGCGACGGGATTGACGGTGGGTGCCGCGGACCGAGATCTCTCCCTGCCACCCCACGCCGATCGGGCATCAGGGGTCAAGCCAGAGTCCATCCACGCGCCCCGTGCACGCTGCGCCCCGTCAAGGTGGCGTATGTCGATGGGCGGGCCCCGCTCAGCCGAGCCGACGGACGTCCAACCATTCAACTCAGGCGGGTAGTGGATATTGTGCTGTGCAGTGGTCCGGCTCACAGAACCTCCCTGGGGTGGAGGTTGCCAGGAAACGCGGGAAGGACCGGCTGAGGTGGAACTCGGGCCTCCAACAACCTGCCTCAGCTCCATGTGCCTGTCCCGGCTACCCAGCACCCCCGCTGGAAACGTGGGCGGCAGCGCGTTGTTTGATCCTGTAATGACAAGTCAAGTCACAAGCAAGCGCGGATATACCAAAACACATGAACAAACACAGAGAAATGCCTCAAATCTCTGAGCCAGCGATAACATTTTTAGATGGTATTACCACAGAACGCCCTCTTACTAATTCTCAAAAAGTGGCACTCATTGTATTGGTCCCAGTGGTAAATATCAGCTTGGTCTGGTCTACCTCCCAACAGAATGTTTAATTACAATGTTTCGATTGCGAGTGTTCCCCGTTGATGAAGGCGAGGTCCGTGGTTGCTCACAGTCCTACCGGGGTGCGAGCTCTCTGCCGTGCTATGCGAGCTGCACGGTGAACTCTTCCCAGTGTTGCCAACAACAGCCGGGATGTAGAAAAGTTCCGAGCTGCCAGCTGGCCGGTACGGGCACACCAGTGGCTGGTCTGCAGGACAACATGTGGGTGTAAGCATGAACACACACAAAGAGCACCTCCGATTAAAATGGGTGGCTATGTACGGTGCAAAAGAGGTTCAACATACATACATCCATACATGCAGCTAAAAAAAAAACACATTTGTCACCGAATAGTGGCGACATCTCCAAACGCCTGCGCCAGGTTACGTGATGCCTCATGGCCACAAAGAATAAACAGGCTCATGGTTTAAAAGACATTGCTTCGCCTAAAGGAATGATCATGTTGGTATATGCTATGAGTAAGGAGAACATGAGGCGTCAGTATGACTGGCATTACTCCTGGCTAGCTATGTCTCAGAAGTGTCGATGTTAACACATTCCATCAGGTAATCCTGTAAGGCTGAATTGATGTAAGGAGAGTATAGTATAGCTTAAGTTTCTTCTAGCTTAAGAAACTACCTGCCATTGATCTGTTGTGACCAGAAATCGAACCCAGGTCGTCAAAATGATCATGTTGTAAACTAGCCACTACGCAAACCCCTACATCTATTGATGGCTTGACCAGGGTTTGAACTCCACATTTCTATGGTGGGGGCCAGAAAGGAACAGCTATGAGTTTGGTACTTTAACTACGGTGCCACCCAGGTCTATAAACATAACACAAACTCTTAGGCGAATACTTAACATACCACCGGTCATTTTTATCAATGTATACATGAAAATAAACAGTGGCAGTTGTGTTTCTATAAAAACAGAAACAAGCATTATCACCCATACAAAAGTTGTGTGGACACAGTTGTCAAATAATCCAAGGTGCTCTTCACAAAGAAAAAAAAAAGCTACCACGGCAACATTATGGATAAGCTGCTTCTGCAAAATTCACCTTGCGTAAGGCAGCGTTCCTCAGAACTCCATTTCGGCTAAGTGGCATTTGTGGCAGTTGAGTGGCCATAACGCGACGAGTGATCGCCGAGATAGAGCACCGGCGGGGCGCGAGCGACGGTGGTGCCGAGTGGGCTTCACGGCTCGTTAATCGATCGAATTTCCACGTTCAAGTGGCCTTGTTCTTGGGACGCGCTGTACGATTACTGCCTAATGGACGGTAAACGGCGGCCTTGATGACTGCAACCGTACATATATTGCATAAGGTAAAGCAACAACAACGAGAACATGCTCCTCTTAATCATGAAAAAAAAAGTGCCTTGCTGCAACGTGAAAGACATTGTGAGTCGAAGAATTCCTAAATATTTGGCCAGGAACATCGGAATGAGCCTCGAGGCTTTCTCGGTAGATTTTCTGCTTATGTTGGGTCAATTCTTATTCTCATTTCAGGATTCATCAGGTAAAGTAAGAAAATACACACTGAGCGCAAAAAATCAAACTTCATATTGAGCAGTACTCACTCCTACAGACATCTAATTGTCCTGTCACCGATTGTCTCACGCACATTCAAGCTCTCATTTGAGCAGAATCCACTGACCTGGCCTCCAATGTCACTGGATTACAGTGATGTGCCACTGCACCCGGTCAAAAAATCAGTTCGTTCAAACGAGCTAAGACAGCGCTGCTCTCAAGTAAATACAAGAATTGCTCAATCACAGGAAGTCGACTCACACGTGCGCTTAAGATCACAGTGTGCTACTTTACCCGCTGTGCCCTGTGCAGATGCTGAAGATACGAAGGTGAAGGAAAAGCTGAGGGGATTGCCTTGTCCGTGCGTCACCGGGGGATGCGAGCCTTCGTGAGTGCTGATGGAGGGCTGCACTGCCGGGCAGGCGTGCTGAAGGGAGCGAGTGTCTTCCTGCCCTGCAGTCGCCCTCAATTGGAGCGTTGGAGCCTCGGAGCCTCGGAACCCTGACGGACTCGCACGTCCCCGTGCAGCTTGCGCTATCACTCCACCGAGATGACTATCACTGCCATTATCGTTGTTGTTGCCGGTAAAAATGACGGTGGAGGAGGTCGGAAGAGAAGACAATGGCGTCGCTGTAGGTGGCAGTGAGTGCCCAGCCTTGGCTGGCGACAGTTTAATGTGCATGTGTGTTAGGGCTGAGCGGGCAGATAAGCGAGTGGGGCCATGGTCTGAATAACCCGACTTGTCCTCACCACTGAATGGAACAGGAATTTGCAAATCTTTCGATGGGGCAGTATTGGCAACCATCAAATATTCAACTCCGGGCTCCGCTCGCAATCCTGCCGGTTGTTCATAATGCACGGGGGTGTGAACGAGTGATGCCCCTGACGACGGCTGGTTTTCTGGAGACACCACGGAGACCTGCGTCTGGGCAGCGATCACCGTAGACGGAGACGGGCTGCGGGTGGAAGGGGACGAATCTCCGCGCTTCCGAGATGTGAAGGTGATGGATGAGATGGGCCTCCTATATTCATGCCCTTCAGGTGGTGTCTTCTCGCCAGCCATTCCCATCACGTCTATTAGCTCAGCTCTAAACACCTTGTCATTCGAATGACCAGAATCCGAAATCTCATTGGTTCCACGGTGAAGGTCGGGCACGCTGCCCAGCGTGGCAGCCCTGAAGCGGCGGTCCGTCACCCAGGCCTCGTACGAAGCGCTTCGTTCCCCATCCGTCAACCCTACAGACCTCTCCGAGGCCCTGCCCCGATCTTCAGGCAGCCGATCCGGTAGCCTGCAACTGCCCCGGCGGCTCTGGTCTGCCCGGCGTCCTGCAGCGCTCTTTTCAGGCAGCCTGGAAGGGCTCTGTTCCTCGCGCGGAGGCTGCCCTCCAGATATGTCACCCCTCACGCCCGTGCCATCAGGGACGCTCGACCGAGACCATTTCTGGGAAGGAAGCTGCTCTCCAGGCACAGGTTGGCGGGGAGGGTCTGGCAGGGCCGGTTGCTGCTGCTGCCCGGGTGCAACTCTCGCCAAGCCGACACTCGAGTCGAAAGGCTCGTCTGACAGACGCTGGAGCTGGCTCGCGATGCGGAGGCGGGCTCGCTGCAAGACGTTCAACGGTTCCGGCTCGATGACGCTGAGGTCCAGAGACGCCAAGCGCTGGGATCCGGACGCCTCAGACAGGATGTGAGAAACCCGGGTGAGGGTAACGCTCTCTGACTCCGAGTCTGTCTCACTCTGTAAAACACGAAGCAGGAAAACGCATTGAGTGGGACTGTGAGAACACTCTGAATATATAATTCAGTGAAATTTGTGTTGCACCGGCTGCCTTTTGTTTTGTGAACACATGAAAAATTTAATCAGACTGTCGAACGGAGAGCACATCAAATAGACGCGAGCTTCATACAGCACCTAGCCTGTAATTTTTTTTACGTGAAAACTCTCTGCTGTCAAAACCAGTTATAGAGATATAAAACTAGTTTTACTTTAGGGCACTTGCACAGCTTTTTGAAAGTTCACGCTATATGAAGGGTACATTCATGTCCAAACCTGCGCAAGCGTACTCCCGGTATTTGCAGCGATACATATACTTTCCGATCACTGGTACATACGAATGTGAGTTAGGAATACCTGCACGGAGCCAAGAGAGACCGTTGCTGATAGGGGGCTGTCCAGATACGCGAGTGACAGGTGTTGCTAACAACCAAAGCATGTTTCTATGTGCAAACACCAACGTCAAACAACGCCGTTTGTCGACGGACGCCGTTGACGAGTTCAAAAACACATTTTACGTTTAACAATTAAAGAGAAGTGCACGCACGCCGATTTCTATTGTTTATTAATATTATAGTTTCACTCTGCAGGCACAAAACCCAAGAGTCAAACGTGTAAAGATGCTTGATATAAAAAGATCCTAAAAATGCATCAAAGTGACAAGCGTGAACCACAATTCCTTTTTGTACACAGTGTAAAGGAATATTTTGTACAAACATGAGATTTTCAGCGCTGTTTAGCAGCTCCGAACCTATGACAAATTTGAAAATTAGGTTTAACTATTTGAAGTCACAGTGAACAAAACTCCTTACATTTTCAACGCCTCAACCTACACAATTGTTGTAGATAGTTGAGCCAATGTCCAAAGTCTGACAATTCATTATTAGTTATTTATAAATTGCCTGCAATGATTTACCTACCATTGCTCGCACCTACAATAAGAACGAGTGGCTACGTACGGTGTGCAAAGAAGTTCAACATACATACCTCTCAATATATTTTCTATTCATACATTCCTGCAGGATCTTATTCCTAAACAAATCAGGAATTAATGTGTTCAGTGCTTCCCTTTTGCACCAAGTATTGCAATTCCCCACAAAGCAGAAAATACTTTTCAGCAGAAGAATCGCCACACAAAACCATAAGTGCTACAAAACCATAAGGGACATTTGAAACCTCAAGGATTTAGTATTTTAGGAGAAAAAGCATCACACAGACCAGAGTCCCCAACCACTTTACCACCAAATTACTCCCTACATTAACTCGCTATGTAATACTAACACGTGGAAAGAAAGGTGCCAAGTGTTAGGAGTGGCTGTACAACTCCCACAAAGCAAACAGCAGCTGGCATTGCAGTAAAAAACACACAATGTCAAGGCTGGCGTGACAGGGCAGACACACAGAGCATTCTTCAGCGCTATTGCGGAATTACTTACAGTGAGGGAAAAACGTATTTGATCCCTTGCTGATTTTGTACGTTTGCCCACTGACAAAGAAATGATCAGTCTATAATTTTAATGGTAGGTTTATTTGAACAGTGAGAGACAGAATAACAATAAGAAAATCCAGAAAAACGCATGTCAAAAATGTCATAAATTGATTTGCATTTTAATGAGGGAAATAAATATTTGACCCCCTCTCAATCAAAAAGATTTCTGGCTCCCAGGTGTCTTTTATACAGGTAACGAGCTGAGATTAGGAGCACACTCTTAAAGGGAGTGCTCCTAATCTCAGCTTGTTACCTGTATAAAAGACACCTGTCCACAGAAGCAATCAATCAGATTCCAAACTCTCCACCATGGCCAAGACCAAAGAGCTCTCCAAGGGCGTCAGGGACAAGATTGTAGACCTACACAAGGCTGCAATGGGCTACATGACCATTGCCATGCAGCTTGGTGAGAAGGTGACAACAGTTGGTGCGATTATTCGCAAATGCAAGAAACACAAAATAACTCAATCTCCCTCGGCCTGGGGCTCCATGCAAGATCTCACCTCGTGGAGTTGCAATGATCATGAGAACGGTGAGGAATCAGCCCAGAACTACACGGGAGGATCTTGCCAATCATCTCAAGGCAGCTGGGAGCATAGTCACCAAGAAAACAATAGGTAACAGACTACGCCGTGAAGGACTGAAATCCTGCAGCACCCGCAAGGTCCCCCAGCTCTCAAGAAAGCACATATACATGCCCGTCTGAAGTTTGCTAATTAACATCTGAATGATTCAAAGGACAACTGGGTGAAAGTGTTGTGGTCAGATGAGACCAAAATTGAGCTCTTTGGTATCAACTCAACTCGCCGTGTTTGGAGGAGGAGGAATGCTGCCTATGACCCCAAGAACACCATCCCCACCGTCAAACATGGAGGTGGAAACATTATGCTTTGGGGGTGTTTTTCTGCTAAGGGGACAGGACAACTTCACCACATCAAAGGGACGATGGACGGGGCCATGTACCGTCAAATCTTGGGTGAGGACCTCCTTCCCTCAGCCAGGGCATTGAAAATGGGTCGTGGATGGGTATTCCAGCATGACAATGACCAAAAACACACGGCCAAGGCAACAAAGGAGTGGCTCAAGAAGAAGCACATTAAGGTCCTGGAGTGGCCTAGCCAGTCTCCAGACCTTAATCCCATAGAAAATCTGTGGAGGGAGCTGAAGGTTCGAGTTGCCAAACGTCAGCCTCGAAACCTTAATGACTTGGAGAAGATCTGCAAAGAGGAGTGGGACAAAATCCCTCCTGAGATGTGTGCAAACCTGGTGGCCAACTACAAGAAACGTCTGACCTCTGTGATTGCCAACAAGGGTTTTGCCACCAAGTACTAAGTCATGTTTTGCAGAAGGGTCAAATACTTACTTCCCTCATTAAAATTAAATTCTAACATTTTTGACGTGCGTTCTTCTGGATTTTTTTGTTGTTATTCTGTCTCTGCCTTTTTTCTTCTTGGTTCTTTCGGTAAAGTCACGTAGAATGGAAATAAAATAATAAAAATAAAACATAATAAAATTCTCACGACGTTTCGGCCACAACACAAGTAGCCTTCTTCAGGTGAAGGAACAGAACTGTCGGGACGACAGCGCTTCAATGAACGCTGCTAAGATTCGCAGCGTCTTTTAAGCTAGGTGGGAGAGGTAAAGTGCCTTGACAAAGGAGTTTACATATCAAACAGGAGAATTTAGCATTGAAATAGCTGTGTTAAAGTGTTGGATCAGCAGGGTGTTAAAGTCAGAAATTAGCATCTAACTGGGATATTAGCATGATGTTAATGTGAGGGATTAACATGTGACTGGTCACGGAAATAGCTATTTTAAAGTCAAAGTTTACATATCAACAGAGGCATTTAGTATGTGGATGCTAAAGGACTGCAACTACCTCAACTATCATACAATAAACCGAACTGTACATACTCTTGATAACATTGATGTAGTTTATATTTTAGTTGTTTATTAGTTTACTATATGGTATTCATTACATAGTGTAGTGTATACCCAGTTACTTTATGTTAATAGCTCAACTTATTGAAGAATATATTGAGTACATTTATTATATTGATGTAGTTTATACTTCGTTTTTTCACATCGGTTTATTGTATGATAGTTGGGGTAGTTGCAGTCCTTTAGCGTCCACATACTAAATGCCTCTCTTGATATGTAAACTCTGACTTTAACATAGCTACTTCCGTGACCAGTTACATGCTAATTTCTGACTTTAGCACCCTGCTGATCCAACACTTTAACACAGCGATTTCAATGCTAAATTCTCCTGTTTGATATGTAAACTCCTTTGTCAAGGTGCTTTACTTCTCCCACCTAGCTTAAAAGACGCTGCGAATCTTAGCAGCGTTCATTGAAGCGCTGTTCCTTCACCTGAAGTATTCTCCAACACAAGTGAACCTGTCTCACAGTGCACATGACACCTGCTCGTGAAGGCCGTGTACCGTCGTGACAAGGGACCTCAGGTCCCCTCTCTGCATGGACGAGGGCTCTCCATGCGAGCTCCTCCAAGCGGGGTCGGCACCGTCCCTCTCCAGCTTCAACTTCGTCGGCAGCTCTGAGGTGCAAGGGGGTTTGGGGGGGTGTGGATTAGTCACTAATTCAGAAGCATAAACTTATAAATTATAATAAAAAATAATTTCGTACATTTGAGATTCACGTCATTCTTATAGAGCAAGGCTATCACGAAGGTGCCATGTTTCACGTAGTCTGAAGTAGTTTCAGTTAGGGGGCGATGTTAGTATGTGGAATCCCAATTGAGTAATGTTCATGTACCACATACCTTATAAATTGCTGGTATTTGTATAAACACACATAAAAAAATAAATTACATGAAATAGGTATTGACGTTAGTGAAATGTCAAGAAACCAAAATGAACACCTTTTGCTCTTTGCTCCTCCTCATCCGATCTCTTGTAGATGCCCTCGGACAAATCGTCAGGTGACTTGTCGCTCAAAAGCACCGCCAGTCTCTGCACCACAGACTCCATGCTCACTGCGTCAGCCTCACTCCGGAGCCTCCCTGGCGCGATGTCTGCATGGATCTGTGATGGTGGTGGAGGTAGTGGCTGCCCGAAGCCTACACTCGTATCCCCCTCAGTAGCCCTGCCCTGACGCGAAGGCAGGCCGGTGTCCTCATGAATCTGTGACGGTGGCGGTGCCGTTCCCACCGAGGGACTTGCACTCCTCGGCAGGCCGCCCGCACCTTGCCTGCGCCTCTCGGTAGAGCCGGCGTCAACGCTCCCGTCCGAGTCTTCCTGTGGATCGGCATGCTCCGTCGCGCCCCGCAGGATTGCGCGCACCCTCGCCATCACGTCGTCATCGTCTCCGCCCTCGTTGCCGTAGCCGGACCTCGGGGCGTCCGTCCCGCTCTGCAGAGGCCGCGCCTGTGGTTCATCGTCAGCACGGGAGGATCTGCCCGACGAGCTGCTCTTGTCATCGTGCGAGGGATTCCACGGTGCCCTCTGCGGCCGAGGGGTGATGCTGGTGGTGGCTCCACTGCAGCCTTCGGGCTCGTGTCTGGCCGAGCCTGGTATGGTTTGACGCTCAACGTCCTGCTCACTCTTCCCAGCAGAATGAAGATCTAATTTGGGCTGCACGAATGGACTTGACACGTCGCGAGCTTTAGCTGCCCCCTTTGCTACACCCGGTCTGGGATGCTCTACGCTGCCATGATCATCCTGGCCAAGTGGAAAGTAAGACGACTGATAATGTTGCTCCGTCGAGGGAATCTTACCAGTAAATGTGCTGGTTTTGTCAAACTCAGCTTTTCCATCTAAAAATACTGTACGGTCACCCTCGGGCTGAAGCTCATGGCTGTTGCTTGGCCCTGTCCTGCCATCTGTGCGCAGCGATTTTAGAATGTCTTGTTCGTTGCTTTCACACGAAGCGTCGAAGGTGCTGTGATCATAAGTCCCCGCGTCCCGTAACAGTTTCTGAATTCCCAGCGCAGTCTTCGTTTCAATCATCGAATCACTCACTTGGCTCTGCGCTGGCTCCGTGGACTGGCTGCCAGGCCAGGTTTCCCCCTGAGCATTACTGCCCTTGTCTTCATAAAAATATCCAGCGTGAGCCTGGTAGGAGGGCTTTTCAAATTCCGAACTCTTGGCTGGGCCAGAGTAACCAGCTAGGCCAATGCTCCCAACTTCATACACGCAGTCCTGTAGCCTGGAAGGTGTACTGCTTAGGTCACCCCTTCGGTTGTCCAGATCCTCCATACTCAGCACAGTGTCCGCTTCACGTTCAGAAGACGCTGGAGCCCTCACTCTCACGGACTGTTCGCCCTCTTGCTGCGAGTGTCCATTATCTACGTCATTCAGTAACATGAGATAGGAGCGACTATTGCCAGACCCTTCCAGTGACTCCCCAGGAGCTGCTTCAGAGTCTTCATTGGTGGCTCTGGCCTGAGACCTTGTGAGAGAGGACGACAGGCGGAGGGAGGAGTCGGAATCCAAGACGAGGGAAGTGCTTTGGCCAAGTTCTGAGCGTAGGCTGTAGCCAGAGCCTCTGCCCAGTGACCCATCAGCACCTGTAAGAACAACAGGCAACAGGATTTGTTTTTCTATTTCAGTGGCTATATCGGTAGACGCTGTCAAGAAAATCAAGTAATCTCCTTGCTAAAACATTGGGGTGGCGGCGCTCATCTCTGTTCGCGTTCCTAAGTGAGCAGTAGATACTCATTTCTATGAGGAGTATCTACTGAGTCAGGACAAGCAATGCTGACTTCCCCTAAAGTGATAGTAATTGTATTGAGAATAGAGGGACAATTACGCTGAGCTGACATCTCATTGAGGTTTCAACTTGCAATTTCCCGATACCCCGCACCTTCAAATAGCACGTTGGCTACACGCGCCAAACCGCTTCCCCCCCGCCATGATCGGACCGCGCCGCATACCGTTAGACACCGCTCCGTCAGATGCCGAGCTGAGCCCAAAGTCCTTGACGGTGGTGAGCTCCGACGGGGAGTAGTCACGCTCACACAGGGGGCCCCGGCCGTCCAGCATTCCCGTCATGGACGGCGGCTGCTCGATGCCCAGGTTCCGTAAGTAAACCTGAGACACGGTGGCAGGGGTGGGCGCCGATAGCCCAACAATGAAAACACAAACTCGTGTATGGATGTCGAGTGTCTCAGCACGGATTGCGTTCTGTCCGAACTTTAGGGAGCACATTTAATACCAACGCTGTGTGTCCTGTACCGATGCTGTGCATGATATGCTGACTCCAAATTTCACGCAAAGCAGACTCATAGTCCGGCTTGAAACATTTGTTCCACTCCTCTTATAACTCTCAAGATGTTGCACTTTCTTTCATTCTGTTGCCCTCGAGTGTTTTTAATGAATATCTAAAACGGCATAAGTTTGACAAATATGTCTTGCTTTAGCTTATCGAGTGTTATGAATTTCCAAAGAATGCTAAAATTATAAATATGCATTTGTTTTGATGCTTGTCTCAGGCAATTCTTCTCAATCATAAATGCACAGCATACAGTGAGGGAAACAAGTATTTGATCCCCTGCTGATTTTGTATGTTTGCCCACTGACGAAGAAATGATCAGTCTATAATTTTAATGGTAGCTTTATTTGAACAGTGAGAGACAGAATAACAACAAAATCCAGAAAAACGCATGTCAAAAATGTTATAAATTGATTTGCATTTTAATGAGGGAAATAAGTATTTGACCCCTCTGCAAAACATGACTTAGTACTTGGTGGCAAAACCCTTGTTGGCAATCACAGAGGTCAGACGTTTCTTGTAGTTGGTCACCAGGTTTGCACACATCTCAGGAGGGATTTGGGATTTTGTCCCACTCCTCTTTGCAGATCTTCTCCAAGTCATTAAGGTTTCGAGGCTGACGTTTGGCAACTCGAACCTTCAGCTCCCTCCACAGATTTTCTATGGAATTAAGGTCTGGAGACTGGCTAGGCCACTCCAGGACCTTAATGTGCTTCTTCTTGAGCCACTCCGTTGTTGCCTTGGCCGTGTGTTTTTGGTCATTGTCATGCTGGAATACCCATCCACGACCCATTTTCAATGTCCTGGCTGAGGGAAGGGGGTTCTCACCCAAGATTTGATGGTACATGGCCCCGTCCATCGTCCCTTTGATGCGGTGAAGTTGTCCTGTCCCCTTAGCAGAAAAACACCCCCAAAGAATATTTCCACCTCCATCTTTGATGGTGGGGATGGTGTTCTTGGGGTCATAGGCAGCATTCCTCCTCCTCCAAACACGGCGAGTTGAGTTGATGCCAAAGAGCTCCATTTTGGTCTCATCTGACCACAACACTTTCACCCAATTGCCCTCTGAATCATTCAGATATTAATTGGCAAACTTCAGACGGGCATGTATATGTGCTTTCTTGAGCAGGGGGACCTTGCGGGCGCTGCAGGATTTCAGTCCTTCACGGCGTAGTGTGTTACCAATTGTTTTCTTGGTGACTATGCTCCCAGCTGCCTTGAGATCATTGACAAGATCCTCCCGTGTAGTTCTAGCCTGATTCCTCACCGTTCTCATGATCATTGCAACTCCACGAGGTGAGATCTTGCATGGAGCCCCAGGCCGAGGGAGATTGACAGTTCTTTTGTGTTTCTTCCATTTGCTAATAACTGCACCAACTGTTGTCACCTTCTCACCAAGCTGCTTAGCAATGGTCCTGTAGCCAATTTCAGCCTTGTGTAGGTCTACACTCTTGTCCCTGACATCCTTGGAGAGCTCTTTGGTCTTGGCCATGGTGGAGAGTTTGAAATCTGATTGATTGCTTGTGGACAGGTGTCTTTGATACAGGTAACAAGCTGATATTAGGAGCACTCCCTTTAAGAGTGTGCTCCTAATCTCAGCTCGTTACCTGTATAAAAGACACCTGGGAGCCAGAAATCTTTCTGATTGAGAGGGGGTCAAATATTGATTTCCCTCATTAAAATGCCAATGAATTTATAACATTTTTGACATGCGTTTTTCTGGATTTTTTTGTTGTTATTCTGTAACTCACTGTTCAAATAAACCTACCATTAAAATTATAGACTGATCATTTCTTTGTCAGTGGGCAAACGTACAAAATCAGCAGGGGATCAAATACTTGTTTCCCTCACTGCATGCCTGATGTAAAAATGAATACAGTAATAATTAAATACATGAGTAAGTGAGCTAGGGAGAGAGTAGGTAAGTAGTAATTGAGGGTGTTTAGTAAACCAGTGATTCATAAATGAGTGAGCAAGTAAGTGGTGAGTAATTTAGTGAGTATTGGTGTGCGAGCAAAACCCGTACAGGGATGCGCTGCTCTATGTCGAACTCCTGATTGCCCGTGCCGTAGCCAGTGCTGGTCCACGGTGGTGTGTAGTTGTCCACCTCGAGGCTGGCTTGCGATCGTGCTGTTGACAGAGCCGGGGTTTGATTCCCAGTCTGGCTTGGACCACAGGAACGCGCGGAGAACAAAGCATCCATGTCCTGCTCCGCAGAGATGTCACCGAGCTGGCCCAATGAGAAAGCCCCCGCAGTCGACAGGGCCAGGGCGAAGGAGCCGCGCGTCACTGGGGACGAGCGATTGTTGCCAGAGGCCTCGATGGCTCCCGCATCTGCACCGTCGATGTTTCCGTTATCAGGTTCGGCTCCGCTCGGCACACTTCGCTCCGAGCGCTCTTCGCGGCGGCTCTCGTTGGGGTCACCGCCGGCGATCAGCAACGACCCCTCCAACCAAGAGTCGGTGACACAGGTGGTCTTCGAAAAGCTGGCAGCTAAAGCCATCGTCTTATAGCGCAAGCTGGCGCGTGAGCCATCTCTTGGACTGTGTTTCATGACATCGCTACGATCGTAAATCTGGCCCCAGTGCCTGTTGGTGTCACAATCGGATGAGTTCACCTGTGGGAATGACTCACTGTTTCCCTCGGGAACATAGCTCTGCACCGGCACGCTCGCACCTCGCAAGACGAGATGTTTTATGGCAGATATCTGCCTTTTGTCTTCCTCAGTCAGCACCACTGAAGCCATGGTGCCCATTAAACTGGGGGAGTCCGTATCGCCGTCTGCGTTACCCCCGACGACGTTCCGCGTGAGGGATCCGGCTTCGCTGGTGGATCCGACCTGGGTGCTGGCAAACCGGCAGCCAGTGTCATCCACTCCAGCTTTTGACAGTTCAGCACCAACACAGGATAGTGAAAGTAAGGTGTCATCAGCTGGAGGTTCTTCCTGACCCAGGTACGCAAACCTTGTTGCCTGCAAGTACCGCTCCCTCTGCATGCCCGCTTCATTTTGCATGCCACCGCGTGACTCTTCGGATGCTGAGCTGCTGGGTTTATCGTCCATCGGAGCTCGTGACGGACCCGCAATGCCACGCGACGATGACTGCGACTCTTCCTCCCGCCACTCGCTCTCCTGAGATGGCTCCTCTGGCAGCCCAGGGAGACGCTCTGTGTCCTCGTCCGGCTGGCGGTCATCGAAGCTCGCGCCGACGATGGGGTGTTGGGATAGGGATAACTCGGCGTGCATGCTGGAGCCTGACACTGGCAGCTTGGTATGCTCTGAGAGGTGACCTCTGGGGCTCCACTCCATACTGTCAGTGCCAGGTGAGATGGCGTGCTGTGTTAGGGAACAGAAGACCGAGCTGTCTGCTTCACCGTACGCACTCAAGCTAGCTTGGAGCTCATGGGCAGATGGGAGACACTGCGATACAGCTGACGGATGCTGGAACGTTGGGAGTCTGGCACTCTCCGGGGAACGCAACTCTTTGACTGCCTTCACACTCGGCGAATCGCTCAGTGACATTTTCTCCACTTCACGATTGGTTGAGTAGCCTTCGAAAGTGAAGTCTGTGCTTGCAATGCTCTCCCTGCAAGAGAACAAGATGAGAATCAAGTACCACCTACATTACTAGTCCTGTATGATGTGAAATTACGTAAATGTGTGTCTGTGTGTGTGCGTATGCATCATGCCAGCCTTAATGGATGCTTAACAACTACTGCCATGACAGTCTAATAGACCAACAGAGTGATATCTGTGTGCGGGGAGTATATTTGTTCACAAATGAAGTTTTACAAGTGCAAATAACTCAATATTAAGGTATTATTACAGGAGGAGAACAAGGGATGATTACCGCAGGCAAGTAAACTCCAACTCGGAATGCTGCTGCTGCACCGAGCGCTGCATCAGGGCGGAACCGACAGCACCATCCCCATCCAGCGCCGTCACGAGCAGAGACAGCACTGGCGACAGAAGACTGTCCTGCACCTCTGCAAGTAACAAACCAGGTTATGTATGACCGGGCAAGAGCCACTGAGAATAAAATGCATCTTCAGCAAGACCATTGAATGAAGAGTGTACTGACAGTGTACTCAAAATGTGGCCATATTTAGGATAATTGCGTTATTCGAGTTGTGCACTGGTGCCCCTGATCCAAGGGTGGCAGTTCACATCCCATGACAGGGGCGGTCTCCAATATGCTAGCGTGACACAGGAAAAAAGCACATGGCTCACAATGGTTTGGAGTGGGCTTGGCCCATCCTCCCTCATGCAACTATAACGTATCACTTTGTGGGAAGTCAACAACAGTGGTAGTAATATAGTGCAACTGGTTACTGCCATGGGAATGTGCAGTTTCCACCAATGGTTCAGGAATGCCAAAATAGATGAGCAAAGGCTAAAGCATGGGGACACTTTAACTTGTGAGTGCTTATTAAGAGTGTACACGGTCTCCGGTGGAAATTTACAAAATAATTGCATAAGGGACTGGTGGTGTTCACAGGAGTCCTGTGCTGGCCCTGGATAACAGGCTCCCCCTGCCTCAGTCTCACCGAGTTGAGCACTGCTCACTGGATGAGGAGGCCAGGAGCCCTGGCTCATGGCCACGGCTTGGTCACTGGTCAAGAAGCTGTCTCTCTCTGCGATGGTCTTCTCCTCTCCGTTGCTCGTGTCGGCTTCCATCTCCAGTGGGAACCAAACCTCGGAGCGCTGGTAGAGATGCATGGACACAACACACACACACAGAGACATACGCGTACAACTCATTACATTTTAGTGACATTTCATCTGGCTGGCTGGCGTCGTTAAGAGCTTTTCACTCGCAATGAGAATGTTTTGCGTTTTCTATCACAGAGATCGACTCAAACCATCAATTCCCTGGCAGTGATATATTATGCACCCTTTTCATTCATTATGATGCAATGGTGAAACTGGCACCCACCACAGGAATGTGACATCGCTGAAACGGCCAATGAAGATAAGTGCTAATCGGCGTTCATTCAAGCAATGACACGCCTTGAACTGATAATTGTAAAACCTATATCCATTTAGAAAATGTGTTTTAAACATAGAACATTGAATCGTCAGATGAAATGTGTATCGTAAATGCTGTTGCTATTGCTGCTGCTTCTGATGACAGAAGATAAAAAGCAAAAGAACAAGGTCGATGACCAAACGCATTTCGCCTTAATTCATCAATTGCATGTCCGAGCTGCGACAAAGGACATCTTTCTACCACAAACGCACATGCCGGGCAGACCGCACGACTCACATCGTCAACACCGGTTACCTGGCAGGCGCTGCGTGCAATGGTCTCGCCCAGGGACAGCCCACTGGTGTTCGACGCGAAGGTGTCGCTGGTGCTGCTCGTTTGTTCGCTGCCACCCCTTGGGGTGGGGCGAGTCCTTCCCACAGCATCCTGCCTGTCCGACCCCTCCTTCCTGTCTTCATCCTCCTCCTCTTCCCCCCCGTACAAATGGCCAGGCACTTCCAACCCACTCGCCATGGCTCGTGGGGCTCTAAACAGGAGAAGAACACAAGTTGTAACAGCAAGCTCTAGCGCATCAATGTTAACATACAGTAAAGCCCATTTAAATTTGCTGACCCGCCCATACTCGACATCTGTGAAAAAGAGCTTTGCAACTCACCAAATTCCTACAGTCTAAATAAAATATTTTAATTCTGAATCTGTACATACAATTCGGATATAAATAGCATCTAAACGTGAACGGATCTAAATAAGCTGTACACAGTCGCGATATTTATATTATAGAAAAAAGGCAAGGTCTTGAGCCTGGACTTAAAGCGTGGCACAGAGTGCCGAGCCGAATGGGATTCAGACTATGGGGCGTCAGGGAAAAACACAAGTAATAAGACTCCAGTCATTTACCACAGGAAACTACGGGAACAGAAATTTAATCTCTATTAAAAAAAACCTTGCAGGGAAAAGCCACACAAGTTTTGGGGCACAGATAAGTTCACAATCCTACTTGCTGTACCGCCTACTGGCGTCCACTCATTTTTGCAAGTGCCAGCGCCGGTCCTCCTCCGTGTATTCAGCAATCTAGCGACGACGTCCTCGTGCCAAGAAGAAAATAAATCTCCGCCTTTTGCACAGCTGATGATGAATGAGAGGCACTCGTCAATAATTCACGGGGCTCAGCCAGCCACCCTACCCCGCGTGTTGTCACGGCTCAAGGGCCCCTTGGAGCCGGTGACAGTTGCAGGGATTTCTCCTTCTGCTGCTGCTCTTGCTGCCTGCCAGGAGAGCGCAGGACACACACACCGTGTCCATCACAGACGACCTTTGCCAGCGAACTCTGTTAAATCACCTGAAACGTTAAGTTCTTATAGCAGTTTTTGTTGTTGTTGCCGCTAACGTGTGTTAGAGGGGAAAATACCATTATTAATATACTGCAGGAGAGGCAACAAATATGCTTTAAATGTGGTGATGAGAGCCCTTCCCACACGATGCCAGTCGTGTTGGTTATTTGACCATACTTCACCACAGTGGTCAATGAGGGTAATCGTAGACGTGGGAGCATAGACGTTCAGTACAACAAGTGCGTCATGCTGCACTGCCCTCTGCTGCCCCGCAGCAGCCTATAGCAGCTGTTAGGCAGTGTTCACCCATCCAAGCACCTCATCCAGGCTCAACACTTTGCTTAGCTTGCGAGACGGAGCCAGCATTCCGACCCGATTCGATCACAGGCAGAAGCAATGAATAAGTCACTAAAAAATATAAAAAATAGTGGCGACATTACACATTCCTGGGAGCTGGTAGGAACGTTGGGTTGCTCGGTCCATGGCCAGGGTCAACGGCACCACGTGGTGTATTCCGCAAATATGCCCGACTGTGAGGGCGGGCACAAGCCGGCGTGAGTAGGTGAAACGTTGAGTTTTATAAGGGCACCACGGGGTGACCAGCCCCTCCCTACCCAGCCCCACCCCTCCCACCCCCCACCCAGCCCCATCCTCCCCACCCAGCCCCTCCCCACCCAGCCCCGCCCCTCCCATGTTTGGATGCACGACGGACGGACACAATAATCCCCTGTGGGCTGGTGGTGTAGTAACCAGGAGGTTCCTGCCAGTCCTAATGCGTGATACTAATACCGTGCTACGTTACGATACCCGACTATCCGTACGCGAAGGAGGGGAGCCGTATGTAGTCTGCTACTCTCATATGGCAAGGTGGTTTTAACACTTAGTAGGCTTGCACGACAAATATCATCCATAACAAAGGGTTTTTGTTGGGCTTAGACCGCGTAAATTATGTGTCGTTAAATTCCGTCACCACCCGACATGGCCAATATTAGTAAGGTTCGTCACGTAAACAAAACGTGATAATTCGTAACAAGTACAGAACACCGGTGTGTTGTACTACCCAACAATAAAAACACCTGTATTATGGATGGCAAGGTGATGATATTTGCAGCATTATACGCGATGTTAATATATACAGTGTGTGTGTGTGGAGGCGATTAAGCAATTCGGCAAGCCTCCTGTTGGTAGGACTTTGGTGGAACGGCAACGCGATCGTAGCTGTAGTCGATTGCGTATCTTGTTACAACGACGCCTTGTTAATGTCGCATTGCACGTCGATGCTGCAGCAGTGAACAACAGCTGCGTGCTATAACAGCAGCAGCAGTAATAATAACAATAAATAATGCGTTTAGCCGTATTCTTGCACTCGGATGTAAACGCGAGATTCGCTACTCACGGTCTCCTTCACCGCAGCTGCGCGCAGCACAACACGGACACCGGCATTGCAGCGGACAACAACAACAATAACAACAACAATAACAACAATAACAGTCGCATTCACATCGCTGACGACGACGACGACGATGATGATGAGGGGAGAATCGTCCCGGGGCCGTCGTTTAAGCGCCGGTGGAGGTGCCCAGGGGCCCCGGCACGCGCATAGCAGCAACGGCGCTCAACGGCTGGGCGCACCGCACAAGACGCCTCACTCGCAACACGGTCATCGTCTTTTCTAGATTTAAAGCTTTCGTGACTGCAAGGATCCATATGCTCTTTGGTTCTATTCGGTAAAGTCACGTAGGTGACTTTACCGAATAGAACCAAAGAGTAACGATCATCATCATCGTCGTCGTCATCGTCACCATCACCAAACTTAAACCTTTAACAAAGAATCACGTCTGCATTAACCGCATATACTTGTGGTCAGAGTGATAATTGTATTGTCTTATATTTTTATTATTTTATTGTTTCCCTTCTACGTGATGACTTTACCGAAAGAACCAAGAATATGAATCCCTGCAGTCACGAAAGCTTTAAATAAAATAAAACATACTATGATAATATATGTGGCATTGTCCTTGAAACTGATTGGTCCACACCAAGGGACGGCTTTCTCTTGAGCCTCGACCCAATTGGTGCTCGACCAGAGGACGCCAGAAGGCGAACAGAACAAAGACAATGCCACTATCAAAGTAATGAGAGCTCGGGGTGAGGATCTAGATCATGGGACCTCCTTTGCCAGTAGCAAAATATGAGAATAGGGTTTCCCCTTTTTTTCTGGCAAAAAACTGGCGTTAATATGTTAAAACACTAAACTGAAACCTTTTACAAGGAATCGTGTCTGCATTAACCACAATACTTGTGGGCAGAATGCAAACAGAAAAATACTCTGATAATAGATGATTGGTCTTGTTGCCAAAAAAAAGTGGAAAACCTATTCTCATATTTTGCTACTGGTGTGGACCAATCATGTTGTGTCTCTCTGTGTTGTCTCTCTCTCTGCTTGTGTGTCCCCGTGTCTGTGTTTTGTCTCTCTCAAATTTAGCAATCTTTGGAAGGACGTAATCAACCAGGTAAGGTGCTGACTGTTGTGTTAGGCGACTCTCTGTGTTAGATTGCATTGTATTTCTAAGTTCATCTACGTTTGTTTTCGACCTGATGACGATTGCTTGTATTGCAATCGAAACGTATTCTATTGTTTATTTTTTTGTTTAATTCCTGCAGTCACGAAAACTTAAAATCAAATTTAATGAAGATACTGTCAGACCATGTTTATTTTTGGTATTTGTTGTTCATGCAGACATGATTCCTTGCGAAATGTTTCAGTTTGGTGTTTTAACATCTTAACACAGCTGTTTTGTTGCCAGAAAAAAGTGGAAAACCTCTTCTTATATTTTGACACTGGCAAAGGAGGTGCCAATGATGAGAGTCATCATCTACACCACGAAGTGTCCAACAAGCATCAGGGCGTACAGAGAGCACAAAGCACGCCTTTGACTGTGTCGCGTCTTGTCCTCGCATCGAGACGCCGCGCGCTGCCCCCCCCCCCGTCCCCCCGTTCGTCGCACGCTCGGTCCGGGGCCGCGCGAGGTGCGCGGGCCGGCGGGCGGGAAGCCCCCACCCACAACCCCCACCCACAACACCCACAACCCCCACCCATAACACCCCCAACACCCCCAACACCCACCCACAACACCCACCCACAACCCCCCCCCAACACTCCCAACCCCCACCCACAACCCCCCCAACACCCCCAACCCCCACCCACAACACCCACAACCCCCACCCACAACACCCACCCACAACACCCCCAACACCCACCCACAACACCCACCCACAACACCCCCAACACCCACCCACAACACCCACCCACAACCCCCACCCACAACACCAACCCCCACCCACAACCCCCCCAACACTCCCAACCCCCACCCACAACCCCCACCCACAACACCCACCCACAACCCCCACCCACAACCCCCCCAACACTCCCAACCCCCACCCACAACCCCCCCAACACTCCCAACCCCCACCCACAACCCCCCCAACACCCCCAACCCCCACCCACAACACCCCCAACCCCCACCCACAACCCCCCCAACACCCCTAACCCCCACCCACAACACCCACAACCCCCAACCCCCACCCACAACCCCCCCAACACCCCCAACCCCCACCCACAACACCCACAACCCCCACAACCCCCAACCCACAACCCCCACCCACAACCCCCCCCAACACTCCCCCCAACACCCCCCCCCCCCAACACCCCCCAACACCCCCAACCCCGACCCCCAACCCCCACCCACAACACCCCCAACACCCCCACCCACAACACCCCCAACACCCCCAACCCCCACCCACAACCCCCACCCACAACCCCCCCAACACTCACTTCAACACCACCAACCCCCACCCACAACCCCCACCCCCAACACCCCCAATCCCCACCCACAACCCCCACCCACAACCCCCACTCACAACTCCCCCAACCCCCACCCACAACTCCCCCAACACCCCCAACCCCCACCCACAACCCCCCCAACACTCCCCCCAATACCCCTCAACACCCCCCAACACCCCCCCAACACCCCCCTCAACACCCCCCCAACACCCTAAACCCCCCCACCACCAACCAGATACGCCACCTAATATTTAACGAATGCATTCAGAATGAAACGAATAGAAACATGAATTTGCTTCACATTTCCACTGATACAGTGCGCGCAAAATAGCGCTTCTAATTTGTCAAGCCACGTGCCACGCGATGTATTTGTTCGACGGGAGTTTTGTTATCTGTCATTCGAATGACGCGATGCGTGTGGTCATCAGGTGGCAGCACAGTCCATCACAGCCTGGCGACACACCCCGAGAAGGCCGACAGCAGCAGCCAGCAGCCCCTTTCACCTCGAGAGAAATACCCAGATACCTGGGGCATGCTAAAACCGGGCGTTAATTTCAGCCACAGCCTACTATCATGGTCGGCGAAACTTAAAAATATTCCGTGCCTCGGCACAGCACATCCGGTAGTATATGCCTCTCGCGATGGCTGTTTTTGCTGGTTTTTTCCTTGATTTTTCTGTTTGCGCGTAGTCGCTTTAAGATGTTTTCTTGTTCATGTTTTTGTTTTTTGTTTGTTGCGGTTGCACCCGATTCAAGAGCCGAATGGCTCACAGGGCTATACCAAATAAATGAAACTGAAAACTGAAGAACTGTGGCTATTAGTTACAAGCCGACTCTCGCTCACCCAGCGACCAAGACGATATTCAGTGAGAAATCAATCTCTGAATAACAACAACCTACCATATATTAAAACAGACCAAAAGGGTGTTATTAATTGAGTACTGGCAAATTATAACCTAAATTCATGGAGGTGTTTTTGTAAAGGTTTCATTTAAAAAAAATGTATGACAAAACGATTGTTTTGCATTTAAAACGAGTGCTATTGTTGACGCTATGTGAAATTGATGGTAAAAAAATACAAACGTCTAAGCTTTAGACGAATAAAAAAAAATACTGTCGCACACTTAAACCCCAAGCAAGGCTCTCCTTGAGGATCCATCAGTTAATGGCACGCGTCTTCAATTTCCACACCCCCAATTCTTTGTTTGGTTCTGCTAGACCGGAAATGTGAAACGTGTGAGAGAGAAAAAGCGTTGGCTAGAAAAGATGATCGCGATTCTTATAAGTGGACGATTGTCTTTCAGGTCCACCGTCGGCATTTGGAGTGCTCGTCAGTTTATCAACCATAGAAGGTTGATGGTCTGAGTCCAACCCACAACTTTAGATGTCTCAAAAACATGCTTGCCGTATTTGTTGTGCTTCGAATGCTGTGTTTACCACAGCAGCAAGAACTGCAGATAAGTTGAATCCGGGCGCCAGTGTGATATTGATCAGTGTGCAAACAGCCCCGCGAATTAGCGCGCAGTGTGGATCTTGTTTCATTCGTAAAAATTAAGATGTTTCGATGTGAACGGTGTTATCTTGACCCAGACACGTAGGGGTGACTACAATAGCAATAAGACTCATCCAGACGCATTCTGGTGATTCTATCTGGTAATGAGGATTTCGCTTTG